GCCAAAATCCCAAAATCCCAAACTGGAGTAATGACCCGGGCCAGCTCTCCCCGGGTCCAACATCGCTCATAAGAGCAGTTCCAGCAACCCATACTCACGTGGCTCAGAATACCTGTTCCAGATTGCCTATGTTTCCAACTAATTCTTCTCAAACATGACATTTAGAAACCACCAATGCTGTTGCCCTATTAGCCACTCCTTCCCTGACAACTGCTTCAACAACTTAGCTCAAAATGGCTCCGTTCACAAGTAAAAACCATGGCATAAATACATAGAAAAGTCACAATCTTTTCTCCTGGGATTTCCAGCAGGGAGATGACGGTCTTGCTAAGAGAATTTCAAAACCTGGGAGCTCACACACCTCAGTCCATGAGCAACTCCAGAGTATGAGTCCAGCCCTGCTGTAGGAATTTGGTTCCAGGCCTTATACTGTGAAGGTATAAGCAGGTTCTGGGTTTGAGTCCCCGGGGGAACCAGGACCTTTCTGGGTGGAGTCTGCATGTTCTCCCTGTGTCTGTGGGTTCTCTCCGGGTTCTCCGGCTTCCTCCCACCGTCCAAAAACCTGCATGTTAGGTTGGTTTGGACATTCCAAACTGCCCTTAGGAGTGAATGTCAGTGTGTGTGGTTGTTGGTCCTTGTGTGTCTCTGTGTTGCCCTGTGATGGACTGGCGTACTGTCCAGGGTGTACCAAGCCTCTTGCCCACTGAGCACTGGGATATGCTCCAGTTCTCCCCAATGACCCCATTAGGGAATAAGTGGTAATGATAATGGATGGATGGACCTCATACTGTGTGAAGGGGTTGAATTCAACTATATCTAGTTAGTATTGCTCAACCGCCAATAAAATTATGTTCCATGTGAAAAGGCAGCTGAGGTTAACCAGGATCAGCATGAGCTGACCCTCACCTTCTGGATCACTATGCATCTGGCTAAGTGGAATGTTATGCAAAATCCCCCATGAGTGGTGAGTCAGCATGGATGTGGGCTCCTGTTCCTCCCAAAGCTGAGCCTAGCCAATCCCCAGAAGCCTAGCCAATCCCCAGAAGCCTAGCCAAGCCCCAGAGGCTGGCCCTCTCAGGCACTCTTAGACTGACCCCACCCTTTTTCCATGGGAGACCCTCAGCTATCGTGGGCTTTCATCCCTTACAACACAGCCCTCAAGATTATGGAGGGGGATTTCTAGTATTTGGATAAATCACCATGGATAACAAACGTGTAAAAATTCCCATTTGTTGTGCCTTACAAATAAATACAGTGCGAGTGCTTTTACTTACTGTGGAATTCTGGATTTTCCGAATTCAGACGATTCTTTTGGGCCTCGATAAACAGCTGCAGGGTCATTCCTCTGGCTTTGGACTGATTACTGAGGAATCGAGCTGGGACGTGTCCCATGAGGTCGGGTTCGTCACAACCAAAGCCAAGGTCCAGGAGGATTTCCTCTGCGTCGTCATCCCACAGGTTGTATCGATCCATCACACTGCAGACAGGCGAAGAGGCAAATGAGCATTCTGAGGAGCTGAATATGGTTTGGAGCCATAGACTATTTACATAGCCCCTATTTACATAAATGTGTGATTTTGAGTGCTATGATTTCGGTTTAGGAGAGGATTTTTGTCGAATTATTGATGGATCCAGTCTACCTGATGAGGACTTATTATTCAAAGGAAAGCTAAACACAATTTCCTGAGAAAATATTACTGTGTGCAAATATTTATTTGTATAAAGCGAATTTTGGACTGCTGGCGTTGTAAGTTATTTTGAAATTACATGCATATAATAAATTATCTGAATTTTTTTTTTTAAATTCACATTGAAGCACCAGAAGCACATTTAATGTAGATAGAGAAAATGGATAAACGATAAATCCTAATTGTCGTTGTACCAACACACAATGTCCAGGAGTACAACTGACCCACATAAGGTACAGTGGTGGGCCTTCTCTGCTGGCCTAAAAGTTTTAGAATTCAGATAATGTTTTGGGCTAAAACGCTATCTGAATCACCAACTTGAAATTAATTATATGTAATCTCTAGATACATATTAAATATCCCAAACGGTCTGTCCACCTACGTTACCAGTGTAGCCTTCCTCCATTGTAGCAGAGACAACTTTAACCTTCATCCAGCCATTGTCCATAACATTTTTAGTTTCAGAACTAAAATAATTAACCAGATCATTGATACGAGACTTAAGGGCAATAGTAATGTGGGTATAAAGTAAAACTAAGTTAAATTTACTAGTAATGCCTAACAATGCCTCACACAGTCTGTAGCCAATGCATAACCAGATTAGACTATTTCGCTGTGCATTTTTAATAACAGATGGTTTTTCCTGATGCCAGTCAAAACAGGAATAACAGACCTAGGAGATGGTAGTTATGTCAAGCAAATGAAAGCTCTATTGATCCACAGCTGCTGTACGTTCTGCTTTTCTTCTAAATAGCCAATTGTTACATTAACCCAAAACATTCCTGCAACTACTTCCATGTCCACTCTGTTACAAAAACTTGAAAAGAGTTAAATCCCCTTAGAATCCAACCCAAACCCTTGTATATTTTTTCCCCCTCTAACCTGTAAGCAACAAGCAGGACCACACCTTCAACTCTAACCAAGAAAAGACATTAACAATAACTGTGTCAACATAGTTTGATTACAGTTTGCATTATAGTTACTATTATAATGTAGTTATAGTAGTAGCTTCATTATAGTACATTATGTTCAGGAGATAGTTACTACCTAGCAAAGATAATAATTTAACATTGCTACATCTCCTTAAAACACAACAGCTGGATGGGAAAGAGGCACTTTCAAGGTAAAATTAGAAACAAAAGCAAAAGTTAGGAAAAAAACAGATAACTCACTGCGTCTTCCCCCAACATTAGTTTCTTGAGACGCTTTTAGATCCCAGCAATATTTAGCCGCCTTCACATATCTAGCCAGTTACAAATCAAAATGCTGACAAAACAACCTAAGATGGTTAAAAATTACGTAACCAAACGCTAGACAAAGCCTAGATGGTGGAAAGGTAGAAGAGGTGGAGGCATAACAGGCAATTTGCTGTGCATCAAGCTCTCTCAAGCACATTTGCATGTTTTTGAATACATTTGCACTTGTGTTGGCTTGGAGACGGGTGTGGAGCAGAATACGTCCACTAAACGAATAATTCAAAGTGTAAATTAAATCAAAACGAAGGGGAAAATCATTTCAAATGACCTGTTTGAAGTTTAGTTGTTTAGGAATATATTAAAATCTGTTTTTGATTTAAGGTCATATGGGGGGAAAAAAGCTCTAAAACAAAAACTATCGTCTGTCATGTCATAAAATAACTCAAGGGATTACTGTTCTTTAGTTGATGGTGTCCGATCGTAATACTGTACGATCAGTTTGTAACTACATTCAGTCATCTGTTCATAAATTCATCCACAAGGACCACAGAGCCTTTGCTCTGCTGTCTGTTAGTGATGTTATTTAATGTGTTATTGAGTCGTTTCGATAATTAAAACAGAATGATCTTACCATCAAACGGAACTGAATACCACAAAGATGAAGTCAACCCAGAATATCGACATGTCTCCAGGTAAAGAAACACCCATGACTTACGTGGCCTTGCCTTCTAGATTTGCCAGTGCTTTGCATTTTCTTACAAACATAATTTGTAGTAAAGTACGCATTTGTGAAAAGAAAGAGTGAGAGATTAAAAAAGGAAATATTTTGTTTTCATTTTTTCACATAATCATTTTTTTAATAAATCCAAACAACTGGAAAGACTTCAGTTCCAGTCAGTTTGTGCCCGTCCACAAAATCTGTCTTCTCAGTTCACTTATTTTAAACCTGTAATGGAAAAATACTTCTCTGTTTTTTTTGGAGGTCTGAATTTCCAGGCAAGTTACATTTCTACTAACCACATCCATTGCACTTTTTAAAATTTCTCCTTTTCCTGGAATTTCCTCTTAATCAGACAATGATTTTAAACCTCCATTTCTCCTCAATGACAGACAGACACATGATCTAATAAAGCCTGACTCAAATCTATGTATGAATGATGTATGCAAGATCTAGAATGCAAGACGGTGTCTAATGCATGCCCGACAATAAATATATTGATGTTATCCAGAAAGCTCTTAATTATCTTATCTTGTTATCTTAATTATCACTGTGATCTCACATACTTTGGACCGTCCGGCTGTGGCTGGCATAAATCCAGGGGGCTCATTCCACCGACTTGGCAGTTGTAAAAATCGTAAGTAGCAGGTTCCATCCACAGTGAGGAATTCCAGGTTTGGTTTTTTTCCTCCTCTTCAGGTGTATCACAACAGCGTAAGGCTAGAAGTATAGAAACGTTTAATCTTCATAGATATTCAGATGGGAGTCACCTCTTACTGGTCCAATGCTCATATTGAATGGCCTCCCAGACAAGATTTCAGAAGGGCTAAGACTGGTGTCTCAGTCTGGCCCTCATTTGCATGAGTACCACAGGCAGAGGATTTCTCCTGGTCAAACCAGTTTGTTAACAACATTATGCAATCTGTTTTTTCAGTGGAGGGTTTTCTCGCTCCTCCATTGGCAGGATAATGTATACAATGTTAGCATTTTAACTCAATGATGCTCATCCACCTGTACTAGTCCTGTCCAAAGCACTTTACAAATAACCTAATATTAGTGTTACTGGTACAATACTCTACTTTAGAAAGAACGTACTAATCAGGGAATCAGAATCAGCATTAATAAACCAGCACACCGAACAAAAATCATTCATGTTGAGAACCCCACGATGTTCTCGGATGCCAATGTAGATCATTCTGATTGGATCAAGTTTAGGACCACCCTGCATGTTGCTATTGGGAATAAAAAAAGAAAAAAAGTCATGCTAAAATCTGTAATCCATGGAAAGGGTCTTGTCAGATCAGGCAATCATACATATTATATATATATGTATAGTATTGAATAGTCCTGCTCATCACAAAATATTTGAATGACAAAAGAAAGACTTAGTACATTGCACACCTTTGAAATAATGTATTTATTAAAATGTAATTTGTTCATTTATTAAATTAGTTTGAGGTAAAATTATACATTGCATGTTTAAATTTTGTAATTCAGACATTTACATGGAAATCTGTGTGTGAAAATATAAAAAGAGAGGCATTCTCTCAGCTATTCCAGGTGAGTCTAAATCCTGATGGCAATGTGGAGTATTGTGCTTGGAAAACAATGTAGACCTGGTTTGAGGAGGCTGTAAACGGAGCAATGTTGGTTTCCTAAACAAACAACACAGGGAGGAGAATATTAACGTCATTTCTTTAAACGATGATTATGATATTTGTGTAGAGAATAATAAATCAATTACATTTGTTTTAGATCTTGGGCATTTTAATACAAATCTTTACTGCTTTTATCTACATACCATTCCACAGTAAGGTCCAACAGGAAGTGAGGAATTGTTAGGGCCATCATACAACTTCAAGAAGTTGTTTAGACAGTCTCCCCTGTCATCTATGCTGAGCTGGTAAAAGGTGACAGTCACCACACGACCTCTGGGAGCTACGATCCCCCACTCACAGTGAGTCGCGTTCGGATAAGTTCCCGGGTAGTTGGGGCTTGCGAATGAGCCATGGTCTCCGTACAAAGTACCACCACAACCTTCAACCACAAACAAAAAGCAAGCAAAGCATTTGGAAGACTTGTACAATGTTCAAACGCAAGAAAAACGCTTCCATTATACATTAATTCACATGTTTTCAACAAATATATCAACTTTAAACCCAATAAAATAACATAGCATTAAAAACTTTGCACAAAAGTTCCATAATCTATTGAATATAACTGTTTTTGGTTCAATACCACTTACATATAACATACTCTGTAAATGTAAAACCACTCATAAATATCACGGCTAAAACAGATCATGCTTTCGTGTTAGCGTTGATTCATTTTACAATTCTTCCAAAATCCAATTGCACACAAAAGCCTGAACACTTTTCCTGCTCTGCTCGTGACTGTAAAATTCTAGAAGTCTATCTCAATGTAAAGAAGGCCGTTCTGACCGTGAGGGGAGGATGTCCAGGTGGCATCAAAACCATCTCGGCTGTGGGAAAAGTCACTCTTGAAGCGTAAGTAGAGCAGGCCGGATTGTGGAAAGATGGGGCTGGGCAGGCTGCTGCCACAGAAGCGTCCAATCATCGGGGATTCTGCTGTACTTCCATTACGAACCTGAGGCCCAAATATGCACTTTTAAAGAGCAAACTTACAGCAAACAAATACTGTTCAGGATTAACAGCAATATTTGATCCAAAAGCACAAACTTTAATATATATAAAAGTTGATGACCCAAAAACTATGTTATAGGTACCAATTTACAATTGATTTACTATATATAATTTACTTTTTGGATGTTGTTTTTGGTTTTTGTCTCTAGTCCATTGACAAATATGGATGAAACAATGTAAAAGTGTGTATTTCTGAATAAGTGAAGTTGGTGGCAGAGTGAGAGTTTTAAATAATAATTACAGCATTCGTGATGCATGTCTTGTAAATAATTGTCAATAAAAAAATAGTACTTTTTAATTTCTGATTATTATTTTTCATGATTACCTTTCTCTTGAAGCTGAATTGCATTCTGAAATAATTTTCTAGAGGGTAGTTTGGCATTCCATTTTAAAAATTATTAATAAAGCTTGTTCCCAATATTTTAGTAACAAGAAGACCATATGAAAATAGTATTGGTACAAAATGGTAGTACAAAGATACATTTTGTACAGGTCTCCCTAAATTTTCAGCTTCATCAACAAGTGTTTCAAGTGGAAGACAAACATTATACTCAATATGTATTTTGTTATTATTATTATTATTATTATTATTATTATTATTAATATTATTATTATTATTATAATTAGTAGTAGTAGTAGTAGTAGTAATAGTAGTAGTATTAGGCAGGCTTTAAATATGGTGTCATTCCTCCTGGCAGAATGTGAGCAAATTCAAACTAAATTAAAGCCTATAAATAATTTTGGCCAAACCATTGGGTGAGGTGGTTGTAGATGAAACAGAGAAGACAGATTTTGCCACCTAAATAAGATGATAAGTTCCATACAGAAGAACAAACATCTATGTTGCCTCCATACCTCCAAATAGTCATATTGACAATTAGTGTGGCTTTCCAGGTCAAAATTGTTGAAGAAGAGCGAGATGTAGCTGCCCTGTGGTGCCTTCAGGATGATGACGCAGTCACTATTGTGGGGGTAGACATCGGGCCAGCCAGGGCTTTTGAAATAGCCATATTCTTGTTCATAGGTTCGGCTGCAGTCTGGAAATTAAAAAAATCAATGTCAGACCACCAATTATTAACTAACACCTTCATTTTCGCTTTATATATTTAGAATTTATTGATTCTGATATTGATTCTGATTCTGATTCTGATTTACTGTTGCTTCAAGAAAGAGGCATTGAGTTCATTTTTGTTTTTACAGACGAAGAGGTTGCTCCTTTTTCATTTACTGTATAAGACTTGTTCTATAAATTTCACTGCTATCCAAAATGTCTAGAAAAAAAAGCCTACTCTTGATTTTATGCTTCATTAATAAGTTGTATAATAATATCCAAAGTAAAGAAGGAGGAATTTTGAAGAATATTTTCATCTTGTTACTTATAATCAGTATCACCGATACCTACTGGCAATTCGATAAGTGAATCTGAGGCCATTTCCTTCCATGAACATGTCAGATTTGAAGTGCACCAGGGTTGTCCTACTGTAACTGTAAAAGTCTGGAGGATGAGCATCCACTGCACAGAACTTGTGCGACTGTCCATGATCTCCCTGGGAACACAATAGTTAAATTAACAAAAAGAAAACTGTGAAACCTTCCTGCATGAACAAACTCTTAAGTATAGGTTACTATGGTTACATGGAATTAATGTAAGACTGTATGTAAAATACAAACAATACAACTTAATGGAGATTAATCATTCAGGGTGCTCATGGTCTAAAAACCAGGAAAATGTGCAGAAAACATACAGTATATATTGAATATATTGAAACACCACTATACTGAATGAAAGGCGGGTGCGGCAATTTGTTGAGGTAGTTTGACCCTGGACACTTTTCTAGTCCATCACAGGGCCACATAAAGACAAATGAGACATACAACCTGGCACACTCACATTCCAACTTAAAATCAGTTCAGAGTTGCCAATAACACATGGAAAGAGCCTCTACAATCCTAACCACAACAATTTAATAATATAATATACTGTAATATAATATAATATAATAAGTGAGTTTTGACTGCACATGAGCAGTCAAAAATCACTTATTCTGATACAATTTAAGGTATTCCAGCCACTCAAACATCTAAACATAAAGCTATATTAGGGGTTGTGATTTGTGTTGCGTATAAATCATAATAATTAATTTTTTTTTAGTTTTAATCATGTTTTTTTCTAGATATTTTTTTCTGGTGTTTTATAAAATATAGCTGTGAAATGATTGGTCCAGCTTTCACCCTGAAAACCAAAGCGTTTGGCTTTAGTACATTAGTAAGTACAACTAAAAGGTTCATACTACTTCACCTTGTGCCTGCTTTCGCAAATAATTCAACAATGCGTGGATTGACTATCATTTTCAACTTTATTTCTGTAAACTCAATCCGCTCTGCCTGCCTTTCATTTGAAACTTGCAAAATATATAATTATTCTTTTTTCTGTTTACTGAAAACAAAAAAAAACTTTCTGTAATTTAATATAACTATAGACTAAAGTTTTATTCATAATTTTATTTTTCAAAAAAGGGAAAACTAAACCAATATTTTCATTGGCTACTATCCAGATCCTTTTGAACCAGTCTGGGTTTGAACTCACCAAAGGCCAGTCTTTCATCTCCAAGAAATTTGTGGCACAACTTTGGGTAGGACCGAGGACAAACACTTCGACTGATACTTGAATGGTTTCCTGGAATGGAGCGTCCAGGATCCAACGACAGTTAGTATAGGGAGGATATCCACTCGGGAAGGATGGAGACGTCAAGGTCTGTATGGAGGTTGTGGCATTTAGAGTCCCACCGCAAACCACTAAGAAGAAAGCAGATACATGTAGAAATAGTAATTAAAGCCAAATTATTATTTGTTTTTTTTTATACAAATGTGGTCAGTTGCAATCCAATAATGAGTGACAATGCCCAGATGAAATGTACATTGAAAATCGAGGGTAAAGTCTTACATGGTAGGGCTCTGTAGGTAGCGTTGAAGCCCTGCCTCTGCACTGAACCGTCTGTGACAAAACGAATCGTCAGGAAGTTTCCACCAGACACAAAGGTAGGAGGGATAGAGGAGCCACAAAATGTTCCGACCAAAGGGAAGTTCATGTTGTCACCATCATACACCTGGGAAATCAACACACATTTAAAAACATAGCAAAACCATATTTGCTAAGCTTTTGTTCTTTAGAGTACATTAATGAATAATAATAAATGCTCAGATTTTTACTTCGAGTAAAATCCACAACTGTAGTTAATATTTTGCATGAAAATGAATTAATCTCTATTAAGAGGTGTGTGGCTTTACTTTGACATAGTCGTAGCGGCAGTTGGACGAGCTCTCGAGGTCAAAAGAGCTGAAGGTGAGATTTATGGCCTGGTTCACTGGCATCTCAATGGTCCAAACACAATCCATCCCCGGCTCATAGCGTCCATCCAGGTTTGGATCCGGGGAACCAAACATGCCCATAGGCATGGACAGATAGCCACCACATCCTTGTGCTGGCCCTGGAAGGCAATTCAGGGACACAAAAACATCTTTAAATTGTAATTCTTAACTGTGTTTACTGATTGTATGTTTGGAAAAGGCCAGATAAAATGTTTATATAATTGCCTTTTCAAAGTTGAACTTCGTAATATACAAACCATAGAAAAAAACAAAATATGTCAGACATGGCTCAAAATGTTTCTAGAGTCCCAGTATAAACCAGCTCATGAACACATCACCTGAACATGTGGGGGTTATCTGATAAGTATGATTGTGTATGCACAGAATGAAATGATTTTATCCAGTAAAGATTCTATGTATCAAAGTAGCTGATTTCAGCCCAGTTGCATTAGCATCTTCCACTTCGGCCCATGGAGACATGAATGCATCATGGGATTTATTTTTAATTTACTCCTGCTGCCATTTTCTGTTTCAAGTGTTATATTATTGGGCACTCAAACCTACCCAGTTCTTTATTCATGGTGTTTGTATTACGTTTGTGCTCTACTGCTCCATATAAAATACAAAAACCAGACTAACCATAGCAGGACGCATAAGGTCAGAAAAAACATGCATTATTGATGACTGTTACATTATCATTCAAGGATAATAATGATACAGATTGTTTTCTTTATGTATCTTTATGTATTTTTGTTTTTAATGTTGAACTTTGGTCTGTTTTGGGGGATTTTGTTTATTCTTTTTTCTTATCAAGTTTTCTTGTCAGTCATTTAGACTATTTTTGTTGACTTTTTTTTAAGTATTGATTTTTCTTTTTGTTCACATTTGTGCGACAATCTTCTTAGTTATTGAATGGTTTCTTCCGTTTTAAATTGACTGTGTGTACCTGATTAATAGTAACTCCTCTTTGCTTTGACTCTGTTTTCTACTGCTATTTTAAAAGAAAAAACATTTTTTGAGAATATTTTGAGATCAGTATTTGAAATTTCATTTTTTTCTGACACAGAGACAGTAGATGTACTGCTATCTTTCCACTGACTGAAAATTATGTTAAAATACTGCCTTACCAAGTGTTTGACTGTATACAGCTCTCCAGCCGATCCCATTCACTGAGGCATCTGTCCTGAACACGATGAATAGCTTGTTGGAGGAGGAGCGCAGATTAGGGGGCATCGCTGTACCACAGAATTTTCCCAGAAGGGGCGCAAAGGTGTCTTGCCCATCATAAACTGCCACATAGTCATAGCGACACGAAGAGGATGCCTCAAGGTGGAAGGTGTTAAACCTGTGGACAGAAAAAAATGACCAAAACAAATATTTTTTACGCTTTCAAAAATGTTTGTTTCTTACAGTTGACTCAGAGAGAGATTTTTCTCATTCGTCACTGATTAATGGGGTGGGATGAGGTTGAACTTTCACCCATGCTATCTTATAGAACCTTGACCCAGCCAAAGTGCAAGACAAGAGGGGAATATGGGAGCAAAAATTAATGATTTTTAAATAGTAAGAGCTCCATATTGTGGCATAGCTACCTTTACCGTTGTTCAAATATCCCGAGGAGATGTTTCCATGTCCAGTAAAATCTTATTACACTTAATCTTATTATATTATTTAAAGAAAATGCACTTACTTTAAATCGACCACTTTGTCTTCCCTGACTTCTATATGGTAGGTACAGTTTATGTTATGGTGGTAGTTGGCCATGGACAGGGCTGGACTGCTCACTGTCCCCATAGTGCTGTTGAAGAAACCGCCACATGCTGTGGACACACACACACACACTATGAATACTACAGTAGCATATAGTATTATACTACATAGTGCAAATATAACAATATATTCCAATAGTATATAAATATAGTAGTTATATGTATTTATATAGTATATAAATATAGTGGTGCTACAATAAAAATGGAATTTTTACATAATGTTTCAAGTGAATGCACAAATTCTATCTTAACCTATCTTACTTAACACATATCTATGCAGACATAAATATTCTTTCTTTATCCAGAAAAAGAGTTGATATATGATTAAAAACAAGATATGAAAATATGTTACATGGTACAAAAATGTTAAATCAAATTTGTGTTTCTTTTTATTTGATGGTTTAGCTTTTAATTATCTTTTCTTTTTTTTTTTTTTACTTATCATATTACTTACGAATGGCTCTGTACTCTGCCATAAAGCCACGACTGCTGACAGAAAAGTCAGAGTAGAAATGCAGTCGCATGGGACCAAAAGTGGAAAAAGGCCCCGGTATGCTGGTACCACACAGAGTAGCAAGAGGGGTGCTACTGGTAAGTAGGTTGTAGATCTTCAGACCGTCATGAATACACGTAGAGTGCGCTGGACAATAGACAAAACAAATATAAATAACTTAGTTTAGATCAAACCAAGGCCTCTGCTTCATTTTAAATCCATATTCTTAACGCTAACATTTACCTTCTAACTGGAACACTTGGAAGGTGAGGATGATCACAGTCTTGTCACCAGCATCTATCGTGTAGTTGCAGTTGGATCGGTCAGGGTAGTTAGCTGGGTAATTTGGGGAGGAAACACGTCCACTGGAAGCCGTGAAGTTTGCACCACACCCTTGTGAGCAGAAGAGATGTACCAAATTAAAGTATCACTCAAACTAATGTGAAATCATTCACAAGCTTCAGAAAAAAAAGAACTGGCTGGCATAACAATTCTCAAATCTAAGAGAAAAAATTTTTGATCCAACAGAGACTAAGACATTTTCTAGAAAAGTTGGGAGAACTTGCGTACAGGGTAACAATTAAAACAGCATTTTCAGGTGCCAAACGTAGAACAGAAGAGCACTGATACACTGAATTGTTTTAGAGTTGGACGTTTCTCAGCATTTGGTTAACAATAAAAAGTTTGAATCGTGTCAAGCACCTTCATAATACAATTTAAGAATACATAGAACAAATTAAGCTGAATTAGGTACAGCCCCGGTTAAAAAAGATTTTTTGGTCATGTTTAAGTGGTCTCAACTTACTGTGATCACCCTAAAACAAAACTTGTAAAACATGGAAACATTATTTGAGTCAGCAAAAAAAGTATAAGATCAATGAATGACGGACTCTTACTGGTAGTGAAGGAAAGTTGGAATCCCTTGCCCTGAGCCCCAGTGGCCTGAAATCGACTGGTGATTGTGTTGTAAGGAGCAACGATTGGTCCTGGGGCCGTGGAACCACAGCCTGTGGCCAGCAGCGATTCAGCATTCTGACTTGTACCTTCCCACACCTGCAAGATTCATATCCAGGGTTAGAATTCTTTCTTTCATTGTTTTAGATCACTGCACATATCCAAAATCTGTCTCAGATTTTTTATTTTTGTTGTATCAAATTACACAATAGGAGCATGGTTGCAGACTGATATCACATTGTTTGGAGCTTTTTCTGATATTTCTGTCTTAAATTTATCATGGAAAATGTCATGAAGAAGAACCACTTTTCTTCTTTGTGGGAAGTTTATGTGGGATGTTTATTTTACCTAATGAAGCACATCCTAAAACAGGTTAAGACATCAAGAAAAGTGTTTATTTCCAAAGCTCTGGCAACTTCTATTAGTCAGGATAATCTTTCTGTGATTGATCTAATATCATAATTGTGTTGAATTATCAAAATTATGTGATAAATCGTTCAAATGATTATAATGTCAATATATTTGTAGTTAACGTCCTTTGATAATGGATATACTGCCACAGTTTCTTTTGACAAATGTGATCTGGCTTTTACAACTGTTGCTAATCTCTGTTTTATTTGCTCCAATGCTCATACTTTGTTTGACAAAGCTCCCTCAGATGATTCAACAAGGTACCTTGATATAACTATTTTCGCAGGTGCCGCTATTGTCCGGAATCTCAAAATCCCTGCTGAAGCTCATCTCCAAGTGATTTCCTTCATGGGCAATGATCTGCCAGGAACACTCTACATTGCTTGGGAAGTTCTGTGGATAGTTTGGTGACTTGATTACACCTGAATCTGCATGAATTACCCCTCCGCATCCTGGTGAAAAATAAGAGAAAATGTAAATCTACAAGAAAGATAAGAATTATCACACAAAGCATATGAGTAAAATTAAAATTGACCTTATTCTGTAATAAAACACTGCAAATCAGTAGCCCTAATAACATTTTCTGTTTTGTTTTTTAAGGCAGCTGTAGTTTAGGACAAAAGGCAGTGGTAAACCAGTTGGAGGGTCAATGAATGGGCTCCTGACTAAACAGGGCTCCATTTTAAAGTGTATTTGTGCAAGACACTAACCCCCATGTTGCCCAACAATGGATCCATCAGTGTAAGAATGTGTGTAATAAAGAGAAAAGCCCAATGTTGTCTATGAAGAGTAGGCTGAGGTGTGCTTCATGAGTGAGTATGGTAATGGATGAATGAGGCACAAGTGTCTTTTGAGTGTCGTTTGTCTCATTTGTCTCTGTGTGCCATTGTGATGGACTGGCACCCGGTCCCTAACAACGGTACATGTACATAGCTCTAGCTTTTGCTGTTGCCTACCCACCTGAAGAGTCAGCAGACCACGAGGCTACAAATCCACCTCGGGACACACTATGGTCAGCCAGGAAAACTACAGCCAGTTTGTTGGAGCCTGAGCGGATGGTCCCTGGGGAGGTGGTACCACAGTACTGACCGATGATGGGGGAACCGGGGGAAGCGCCATTGAAGACTGTCACAGAGTCCCAGCCACATTGTGAGTGGGGCTCCAGGTTGAAGTTGCTGAAGGTCAACTGCAGATAAAAGCATGGAAACACATAAAAGTTGTGCTTTGTGGACTGAAGAGGTTTTGAATCGTGAGCAAAAAAACCCCAAAAAAAACCAACAATTAGCAGTAATCTCTTAGTACCAGAGTACCAGTCACCAGGGTAGGCTGACAAGTGGTCAGCGGTCAGTTTGAAGTTTAATACAAAAGGTAGAATTAAAGTACATCAGTCCCACTCTGATTTGAACTGTGTGAAGAGCTAAAAGTAAATGGATGATCCTCTTTGTAAAAAAAACATATCTCATGTATCAATAAAATGCATTTCCTTTTCTATGTTAAATAGATGAAATACTAAAATGTTGGCATTTAAATATTGTCAGACTCTTCACTATACACATTCTGTCCACCCATTTTAACTTGCTTATGCTTATGGGCGCTGATGTTTATCCTTGTAGAAAATGAGTGGGAGGTAGTGTGCATGGTGAACGTACTAACAGTAATTTATAGAGGGGGCATAATTTTTTACATCAAAAAGCCATGCTGCATTCCCAGGGCAATTTACATTTACCAGTCAACCAAACATGCATGTATTTTGTATATAATGTGCTATTGCACTACCCTGAACATAACTTAATGTTGCTCTAAACATTTACTCACCACGATTGTGTGCCCCACAGGAGCTTCAAGCAGCCAAGCACAGCGACTGGGACTGGGATAGGGATTGGGGTAATTCGGACTTGAAAATACTCCTTCATCCGTCAGCCAGCCTCCACATTCTGCAAAAAGGTCATGATTTATGTGAGAAAATTCTGGTGGCATCATAGAAATAGAAAATACTTTATACTTTACTTTATAATTTACATATATGTAACAGCTATGTTAGAAAATGCTAATGCTTTTTTTTAATGTACTGTACATAGTCCATGGTACATAAACAAACTAAGTCAGTGCCATAACGGCTATTAAACTGTCTTACCAGAGAACATGTACTTGGCCTTAAAGCCCAAGTCTCCCTGAGAAGAATCAGTCTGAAAATGAACCCACAGGTTTGGGGTAAAGACCACAATTGGAACTGGAGGCGTGGTCTGTCCACAAAACTTGGCCAAAAGTTCTCCATCAGAATCACCTGAGGGAAGGGGCAGAGCATTAAAAAGGGAATAAAGAGAATAAAAGGTTTTTTCCAAATGTCCCTTTCAAAAGTTATGGATAGGTTTAAGCAAACAGCAAACTATTTTGTGAAAGCCAAATCATGAATTCCAATAGATGGATGCAACCACATGGTCTATTTGATATGTTATGACGATGATATGTTAACACTAAAAACTTGGCTACAGAAGCTTTGATTGTTTCTGAAAGTCACATCCTTTGGATGTATCGGCAGTGCATACTAAGGCTAATGTTTTCAGTGTGGATCTTACCAAAGCGGAACTGGAGATAGTCTGAGTCACACGTCTGATGGTTCTCCAGGTGCAAGTCTTCAATAAGCACCACGATAGAGGAGTTTATATGATGTGGGTTTTGAATCGTCCACTCACAATTGAGGTTGTCACTGTAATTGGACACAAGATAGCCTGGGGAACTGAAGTTCCCACCGGCTGGGTTGTTAAGGACTCCCCCGCAATCTGACAAAAAAAGAGTAAAAACAGAAACATGCAAATGTGAGAAGCAAAGATTAAGTCTAAAATTCAACATAAAGTCCCAATTTGTAACAATGAGGTCAATGCATTTTCATTGGTGTGTATCTCTGCATATTTAGATATGTATTTCTGAAAGTCCAACTACCCAAGATTCTAAGCTAAAGTGACAGAATGAACCTGAGATCTTGAAAGCATTAAAGTCATTATCCAGGTTAACAAAACAAAGATTCAGAAATATATCAGCAAGATGCCCCCAGTGATTAACTAAGCAAGTGTATTGGGCAGCTGCGCCGGTTGGTTAACACAAGGCTAGTCCTGCTCATGAAAGATCTCCAGAAGGGGGCAGTTCCATTAAACTACTACCAGATAACTTTTCTCTGGGAAATAGAAGCTTCTGTCAGGCCTCATAGTTGACCAGCTGAACAGTCGTATGGGGCAGTTAAAGGCCCAACGAGATGAATACCAGCTATGGATGGACAAAACTGTAACTCAAGACTTAAAGTTCAGACAAAGAAATCTGCGCACTAACTGGACTGAGTAAGAAAAAAATCCCTACAGCTCAATGCTGCAGCTTTCGGTAGATAAAAACCTCTCACCTGCAGGCTCATCAGAGACGTAAGAGGCCATGAAGCCACCACTGGATACAGAAGCATCTGTGTAGAACACAATGGACATTGTGTTTCCAGAGGAACGCACTTGAGTGCCTGCTGGGACTGTACCACATAGTCGATGTAAGCGAGGAGCATCCTCCGCTAATCCGTTGTATATCTGGAGACAGAATTTAGATCGTGAGAAATTTCACTTGTATCCCTACCATCTATCCATAATCTGTATTACTTATTCCTAGTAGGGTAGGGTTATACCCTAGTGGGGTAGGCTCCAGTCACCCCTGCGAACAGGGAGCAGGTTACTGGAGCCTACCGCCCACAACCCAACTAGGCTCCCAGCTGACAGAGAGTAGGGTACATAGGGCCACACAGGACACATACATATTAAGTAAAGGTAAATAAAATTCGACAGTTGTTTAAGAAAGTGATTATAAAAGTAACATTTTCACAATTTCCTTTGATGATAACCGAAATATGACCTACCAACAGCGAAGCTATAATCCTTCAACCCCCAGATGTCATCAGTACACTGCACCCGACTGACACTCAGAGAGCAAGCAGACCAGATACTGTACCTGGGCTATCGGCAGTTTTCACAGTGTACCATACCCCAGTTTCTAGAACGATACTGGTAACATGCCTCAATGACTACAGGCAGGTGGCACTGACTCTGGTCATATTGAAGTGTTTGGAAAACCTGGGACTGGGGCCCATCAAAGCAAGTCTACCCACCCAGTCTTGATCCTCAAAAATCTGCCTACGGACCAAACAGATCAAAAGATGAGGCCACTGACACGGCACCTCCCTCCACCCTGCTGCATTTGTAACAACCAGGGTCATATGCACAGCTGTGTATCCAACAAAATCCCTCCGTGCAGACTGTTCTCCAGGATGTCCAAGGCATTGAGCGCGACATCTGCCTGTGGACTCAGGAGTTCAACGCAGATGCAGTCAGTCAGATCGGGACTGCGACACTCCTCTACCTTGTCACTCAGCACTGGAGTACACCAAGGCTGTGTGCTGAGCCCTTTGCTCTTCTCGCTGTACACACTCAACTGTTTGCCACTCCACAACACCGACAAAATGATCACATTTGCTGATGACACCACAGCGGTTAGACTGAAGACAGTGAGAACCCCCACAGGGAGGAAGTGCACAGACTGACCGACTGGTGCTCAGACAACAACCTGACCTTGACCACCAAAGAGACAAAAGTAGAACTCATTGACTTCAGGAAACAGAAGGAAGAACACCAGACACCTCTCATTAACAATCACAGAGTGACCCAAGTCTCTAATTTTAGATTACGGGGAATATACATCTCATATGGACCTAAAAAAACACACACTGATTTAGAAAGCACAACAACAGGTGTAATTAATCTGGACACAAGAAAAACTGGACTGGGTTGACGTCAAATAGACTTTTATACCTCACGATGCCTCTGGAAGGCATTCAGTATTATCAGGGACTGTTATCACCCAATTAGAATGGGTTCCATTTCAACATATAAAGAGATTAAGATAAAAATATATTACGGCATAGAAACTCACATCAAGGTAGTCAAACACACAGGCACCACTGGAACCTTCCAGCCGGAGGTCATTGATGGTGAGAGTAACCTTACGATCTGGAGCCACCACCACCTCCCAGTGACACACTCGACTGTGAGGATATAAATTGGGGTAATTGGGAGAGGAGATGGTCCCTGATGGGGCATTCAGTTGCCCTCCACAAGCTGTAGTAGAAGCAGAAAAGGAAACATACAACATTAGAAGTAATATTTTTACAAGGCAATTTAGTTCTATTCACAAGTTGATTCAAATAGTGTTAATTCACAAGAATGGGAATTTGACAACATACCCCAATATGCCATTTGGAGAAGAAACTAACTCCACTAAGTACACTAGCGTGGGAATTGTTGGGTTTCTGTAGTTAACTTCAGAGTAGGGTCTGACCTGCTCTGTTTGGAAAGCGCTGTGAGACAACTGTTGTTGTGATGTGGCGCTATATAAATAAAATTGAAAATTGAATAGCGTCAAAGCACCCTAAGTAAACTGGTCCTTAAAAGTGTTTCCTTCTTTACTACACTGATACCACAATAATTTCTCCAGGACTGACATGATTTGGGTTGTGAAATAACTGAAGATATATAGCTACACAGGATGTTTTAGGTACAGCAACATACCTTGAAATACTTTTTCAGCTAATTGTTTGTTTTGTTAATTGCCTAAGGTTTGTTACTGTGCTTCCAAAAGTAATATTATTTACATATAACTTACGTAGACCCAGAATCGACAACAGTTTTCCTTAGATAGAGAAGGTAGTACCCCTACCTTTACCCCACTCCCCCAGTGCCCACAACTTACTAATTGCCCCCACCGTATATGTTCCTTTGGCTTTAAAAAGCTTTAAGTGTGTGTATAGTATAAAGCAGCATCCATGTTCTGACAATTCTCCTATCTGGCTATTTCTTGGGTCACCATAACTTTATTTAGACAACATTTACAGTCTCATATACAATCTAATCCAAAAATACAATGATAATTCTGTTTGAAAAATATTTAAGACATTCTGCCACTTCCAAGTGGTAAATTATTGCACATATGGAAGTCTGTATGATATTACAGTTTGTATGATATTATGGTAATTGCATGGGTGCTCTGTGGATACTTTGGCTTCCTACAGTTGCCCAAAAACATTTTACTTTAGGTAAATTGGAGACTCTAGAATTACCTGTAGGATTAAGCCCATCCCAGCTTGGCTACTGAAAGCTGGGCTGAATGACAACCTTATAATGAATGCTAACAAAATTATTCCTATTAGAATTCCAACTTAATTTAAAGGGAAGATGCACCACATATCACCACAGAATAAAGAGATTACACATGTATGACAGAGGAATCATGTAGACACAAGTTGTGGGATTGTGAAACATGACAATTCACTAATGAAAAACCAATAAAACTTTAAATATATTTCAAGAATGGAGAATTAAATTGCTCTGTTATCATTACAGGTAATTATTAAAAACAAAGGCAATTTGTGCTCACAGACCAATGAGTCTTTGTAAATGTTTATGATGTCATTAGTATGATCATACCTTCAATACTGGCTTCAAATGATAGACTGAATCCAGCTGCATTTCCACTTAAGTCAGTCACAAATTTGACATAAGCAAAACTGTCAGAAGTGTCCATGGAAGGTGGTAGATTACTGCCACAGTGTCGGCCCAAAAGTCGTCCTAAAAGAATACGATTAATCTTGATTAACTTATTGTTTTACCAACAGGCAATATGAGTTGTCCACTTCTAAAAATGGCAATCCCTTTGTTTTCTCACCAGAGGCATTATACTCTCTGATCTCCACATAGTCAGCAGTGCACCCTGGAGTTGTTTGAAGGCTGAAACTGTCAAAGCTTATGGTTAGATAATGTCCAGTGGGCCCCTCAAGGTACCACTCACAGTTGCTGCCATCAGGATAGCTAGAATCAGGGAAGCCAGGACTGTGGATTGTTCCCATTTGACCAATATAGGTTCCTCCACATGTTGCTGCAAAGAGTTGGGAGATATGATGAGGAAGATACGAAATGAAAGCAAGCTTAATTGTGCTTCTTTTTTCTTTCAAAATATTCAATGTTGTCTAAGCATTTTCTACATTTTACAGAGCATCTCTTGTCTATACATTTAGATTCTAGCCCAATTTTGAGATTGGGAGATTCTAACCCCAATTTTGAGATTATAAGGACAGCGTGTGCCTCTTATTTGCTTACCTATGGAGTACTTTGCCTTAAATCCTTTATGAGTAACACTATGGTCAGTGCGGAATCTAAGAAACATGGCGGACTGTGTTGAATGCTGGGTCGATGGTCTGGTGCTGCCACATAGCCTCGCAATTACATCAGAATTGGATGTTGAGCCATCACGCAGTTCCAAGTAATCATATGCACAACTAAGAAGAAAAAGAGTTTTAACATGTGAAGGGAATACATTACAATGCACAAATTTGTTTGTTTGTTTTCACAACTTCAAAATCTTAGGGTTCACTAGTAAATCGGAAAAGTTTTTAGTAGTTGTAGTTTAGTTTAAGGAAACATTTAATTCAAAGGAATGTCAGATATTATAAGATGAGAAAATTCAAAATGGAGCAGCAGCATGTAAAGATTAATAAAGATCAATCAAGATTTTCTTTTTCTTTTTACATAAGTTTTAAATACCATATCCTTTGGAAAGTACAAATGTGAAAAAAACTATCAAATATAACTAAATAGACTTACCTCGCTGTTTGTTCAATGTTGAATTCATCCTCAAAATCAATTTGGACAGCTTCTCCATTTGGAACAGTTATCACCCAGATACAGTCAATATTTTGAGGATAATTCTGAGGATAGTTAGGTGAGGTAATGTAACCCGGTGGGTCGTTATCATTAAGCTCAATGAAGCCTCCACATGCTGCAGAAAGAGAAGAGATGATAGTACATGTTTTCTTTTTCCACTATTGATGACATATAAATTACCTAGGCAAACACTTTTTTCTCCAAGTACCACAATAAACTTCTTATTTTTCTTTTTTTTAAATAAGTCAATGTCTTTGCTGTTTTTGGATGTTTTACAACCTAAATTTGTAAAGCACAACATTCAACTAAAACAATGTTCTTTGCCCAGGAATGCAAGTAAATAAATATAATTTATAGTAATGTTCTTCATTCTTTTATTCTAGCAATATAGCTTCTACATACTGATATGCCGGCCATCACCGAGACATAAAAGAATTATTAATAGAAGCTGCAGCATAAACTTACATTGGTTAGCTATTTAATACATTTTTAAGTACTATATATATATATATATATATATATATATATATATATATATGTGTGTGTGTGTCTGTGTTTGCGTGTTTATGGGGTTAAAGAATTGGTTACCGTACCCGTACTATGGGCCTCAAAGGTCAGTTTAAAGCCATTAGCCTCATTACTGGCATCAGATACAAATTTGATATACATGTCGCTATCAGTGGTCTGGATCATTGACGGGGGGCTTGAACCACAGATCCGTTCTCCAAGTAGTGGAGATGAGTCATCTGGACCATTTCTGACCTGTGTAAAGAAGAGAACAACATTTCACAAACAATTTACCTATTCAGCGGTACAAAACACTTTAAAGCATTGTTTATAATGTTTTTTATTTATATTTTTACCAAGTTTAAAGCTCTGTTCTGGAACAGTTTTTATTGTTTAAGACACATCTTTTCTGGGGATTTCCTTGTTTTGTGAATTTGTGTTAAATACACTCAGTTAAAATTACAAAAATAAAACGCTAACTAGAAAAAACACACTGCTTTTGATAGCCTGAAGGGTTTTAAAAATCAACTCGTGAAACATAAACATGAACATAAAACATAGATAAAGATATACAGCTGACTGTTTTACAGATATATGCTTACCTCCAGGTAGTCTCCTGAGCTACATCCGGTTCCATATCCCTGAATCTGGAAGGGTCTTAGGAAATTTACGGACACTTTAAAGCCGGGTGTGACCATCACGTGCCAGCGGCAGTCCAGACCAGGCATGTAGTTCTGCGGATAGTGGGGACTGCTGACCGTTCCTCTATTTACATGCAGAAAGCCCCCACAACCTGAAACCGCAAACAAATTATTATTATTTTATTTCAAAATGGGTTTGTTGAGAAGTAGAGCACAAAATCTAAGACATTTGATAATTAATGTGTGAAAATATATTTGAAATGTTTAGTTTGTTTTCAGGTAGCATTGATAATTGGTACTTCTTTTAATATTTTTGTTTTACAGTATGTATTTATGAGGATTTAAGTGCAATTGAATTTATATTTCTGTTATATTCAGCTGATGTAACTTCGCTATATTAACAATCACCATCTTTTTTCAAGTAGAGGATGTACTGATATTTGCACATTTTAATGTCATCATGTTATTTTGATACCTTTTAGTATCAAGTGTAAGAATTGTTTCAGATATGAATGATTTTAGTCAGGTCAAATTGAAATGCCAAATTTGAATTTAAATTCAATTAAAATAAATATAAAAGATCCTTTATAAAGATTGAGGTGTTCTTTACAATAACATTACCTAAAGCAAGCAAACTAGCTTATCTGCACATCATGCCATACATTTATTTATTTATCTTTTGTTTTTAACTTTTTAATTCTCTTTGTTAAATCTTCTGAGTGCAGATAACTAACATAAATAGAAAACCAGCTCATGCTTGATATTAATTTGAAGACTTTCAATGTAAATATAAAAATTTTCTGGAAATCAGAAATCAGTTTTCTGGTTTAAGAGAATTTCTTCTTGCCACAATTTAGGTACAGGGTCTATTTTTATATTGATATTATTAAAACAAAAAAAAGCTAAGAAATGTGTTTTAAACAATTTCAAAATATTAAAGTTGACAGGACAAAAATATTCAAATACAGTACCTAACAGAACATATACGTTTTCTATATGTGGAAAATCAGCCACGAACTGAAGCTTTTTATTTACCAATCCCACAATAACAAAAATATTTTCCAATCTGATTTTCATTTAATATGCATGTATAAAAATAAACATGTTTTAAGAAGCTGAACTGTGACATCATTTTTTATAGTTTTTTCAATGTCTGTGAATTATGTTTATCTAAAAAGACAAAATTTTTGGATAAATCAATAAAATGGCTTTTGCCAGCTTAAAAAAAAACTGAAATAATGAAAAAGAATGTGATGTATCTATGTAAACTTTGGATACAAAACCTTTGGAGTAGGAGGCATTGAATCCGTGGCCATTCATGACGCTGTCTGAAGAGAAATGGATGAACATGGAGTCTCCTGTTGAGTGGAAAGGACCTTGAGGATTCCGACCACACACAGTCGCTAGCACGGGAGACAGACTTGTTGCACCTGTAAACACCAATTCCCCCCAAATAATGGGTTGTAAGGGATAACAGACCAACTGAAAAGTATGATTGGTGTTTTATGAAGCTAAATCCAATGGTGAATATTTAAAATTTAAAAGAAAAATCTTAATCCAATCCCAAACGAAGGAGGATTTTATATCAATATATTTGTGTCAAAAGGATCCAGGTTTTGTTTTTTTACTCAAATTGCAGCATTTAACAAAGCTAATTTATTCAAGATTAGAATAGTACAATATCAGTAGCATGCATAACATAAAAAGTCACTACATGGTAAGATTGTGACCAAAAAAAGTGATATTTGAACCAAGGTAAACATCATGGCTTACCATCTCTGATAACAAGGCTATCAGAGTAGCAGCCTGGGTAGCCGTCCATGTCTAGAGACAAGATGTTAAACTCCACGGTTGAGTCTGGGGAACGTAGCAGCCAAGTACACTCCTGGTTAGGGGGGTATTCGTCCGGCCATCCAGGGGAAAAAAGGAAACCGGGAGTCTCTCCTGTTATGAGCATCCCTCCACATGCACCTGAGACACAAACCCATAGTTAGAACGGTTTACACATAAAATACAAGACAAACATGGAAGATGGTAGTACTTTCAATACTAAAAAGTTGAAGTCTTTAAGGGGTATTTTAGATGATTAGGCCTTGACACAAAGCATTTATAAGGCCTGGCCTGTTTAAATGTATAATGTCTCTTTGTATGTCTCACATACACACACTGTTTGAAATGACCTGTTTTTTAGCTGGATGAAAATTATTATATTGTATTTTACCTGTTTTCTTTTTTTTTTTTTTACTGTGCAAGGGAATAGTGAATGCTCGGTGTGTGTGGGTTATACGAGATGTCTTCAAACGACTGACCTGGTGTAATAGTAGGTGATGGTCCAGAGTCCTGCACGGCCTTCCATTTCACCAGGAAGCCTCGTCCTGCCACCACTGAATCTGACAGGAACTGCAAGGTGACAGTGCTTCCCCAACTTCGTACGGGGGAAGGCAAGCCGAGGCCACAGAATGTACCAATGGGATAGCTATGAACATCCGGGCCATCGAATATCTAAGAAGAAAAATGTGGATGTGTTATATTGTTCTGTTCTGTTGATCCTTTACATTTTAAAAAATCTGTTTGTATCAATTCATTTAATATCAATATATATTTAAAAAAAAATATTACAGTTTATTAGAACACATTTAATAAAAAGGTGGGATTATAACACTTTACATTTGTCAATCCCTCTTAAAAGGATATGTATTTTAATTCTCATGACATCTATGACATTGTGAATACAAATGAAATAGATTTAATTTTTTCTCAATTCATCAGGTAAACTTTTAATAAAACGTGCATCAACACTAGTTTATTGTCAAAGATCAATAAGAAAATTCTTCACAATTTGCCTTTACTAGTACATGATTCTAGCATCTCCTTTCACATATATTTGAAAGGTTTGCTTCTTTTAAGGTTAATTTTTCATAATAAGGGTGACATTTTTAGCCCTGAATTACTTATGTTCCAGCTTTATTTTTTTGAACGTGCTGTAGGCCTGAAATGTTCAATTAAATGGCCATAAGCACACAAAAAGAGTTTGATTAGACAAAACACAATTGTTAAAATAATAAACAAAATCAATTAAAATGTAATGACCGATATATTATTAAACATCTTGTTTTGTCAATTCCATCTCATTATTTTTTTATTGGAATTGCACATTATTCTGATGTATTCAGTTATTTGATATTTAGTGCTATAGTACAAATCATTATATGTTTTCGTCAGTACAAAATAAATCAGAGGTTTCTTAATAATTTATGCTGTATATGGATTTATTCAAATCAGCTAATTGTTTTATTGTTTTTTTTATTTTGAGATAGGAGTGATTTAATAGCATACAAAATCTTACTTTCAGGTAGTCATAGTTGCAATATTGCGTGTCCTCTATGTCCATATCCAGGAAGGAGATCTGGACGTAGCTGTCTCCGGCCACATTGATGGTCCAGCGGTAGTGGGCGTTATTGGGGTAAGTCCTGGGATACAGCGGGGATGCGATCTCACCAGAATCCCCAATCAGATCGATTCCATACACTAAGTAACAGTGACAGAGTTTGGTTACTTTTTCCTCCTGAAAGATCAACTCGATTTATTTTTGCACCGAAACTTCACAACACCCAACTCGACATATGATACACAACTATATTAGATTTAAAGGCAGAAACATTTCATAGCTGTTTAACCAACATGCACAGAATTGTGAAACATTCACAACCTGGAAAACATAAGAGTTAAGACTTGAAATCTAGAATTAATCCAGGCAGTCAACTTTTACTCGCTTTGTAAGTTTAGTTGGAGTTTCAGCACCCGATGCTCTTTCTGACACAATCCCTTGAATTTATCAAGCCTTGGGACAAGCATAGATAGAACGCTATACTGTAATTGGGGGTTCAATATCTTGCCTAAAGATACCTCAACATAAAGCCAGAGTTCAAACCACTGACCAAACCACTAGTGGGCAACTGTTCTTACCCCTGAGACACAGTCCCCCCCCCCCTTCAGAGTTTTGGAGATTGGCTTTTGGTCATGATCACATCCTTGAATTAATTATCAATGCGTTAACAAAAATTCATTATGAATTAATTATATCTTATTCAAGTTGGAACTATTTTCTAATATTATTCACTGAAATTCTCTCTAATAACATTAGTGGACTATTGACATATATGAGTACTTACAATGTGAGAATGTTGCTCTAAATCCTTCTCCGCTAACTGATGCGTCTGAGACAAACTTAACCCAGAGGATGTGGCCAATCACAGAGGTGTAGTTAGAGGGGAGCATGTTTCCACAGAAGAGACCAACGAGGGACCCTGTGGAGTTTCCTTCTCTGATTTCCAAATAGTCGTTCTGACAACTTGAGTCTCCTTGAAGATTAAACATACTGAACAAAATAAAAAAAGGATTATCAAGATTAGCATAAAGGTCCCTGGAAACATTATCCATAGATTAATAAAATACAAAATACAGAAGTCAAATACATGATATTTCATTATGAAACGTACAAGCAAAGAATATTAGGTCAGAATGTTCTGAAGACATATATGACACCAACTAGTTCTAAGCTTGATTTTTTAAATATTATATTAATATTATGTGTTTCTGCTCTGAAAGGAAAATCCTTATTGAAATTTATATTATCTTTTAATATTTTTGTTGCTACTTGAAAAAAGCTGAGCCACATTTACTTTAGAATAAATACTAAATTGAAATAAGACTGTGAACAAAATCTTTAAAATTAAATAAATATTCTATTATATTTAATAACTATTCTTTATCAAAAGCTCACTTGATAGAAAGAGTGCAGCTATTCACTATTTCATATCATAATTACCAACAAAGTTAATTTAATGAGCCTCAATTTAAAGGAAACATTTAACATGTTAAGTTATGTAACTGTATTTTATGGGTCTGTAACTGCAAAACTTTCTAACTTTCCAATAATCTTATTATATTGTTGAACATCTCTGTATCATTAAATAATTTGACTTCTGGGTGAACTTTCTGTAACTGATTTCCAGGTAATTTTACATTTGTATATTACATTTTCTGTGGACACAAGTAAGAATCTTAAAAAAATAGATTAAATAAAATGTAGAACAGCAACTCATTCTAGCAAAAGCTACAAATTGAAACCTTGAGATGGAAACATTTATTGACAAGAATTTGAAACTCCCCAACTAAAAAACACTCACATAAAAGAGAGCTGGAGACGATTTCCTGGCGAGCTTCTGATGGTCCAGACACATTCCATATTCGGTGGATAAGCATCTGGATAGTTGGGACTGTTAAACACCCCGTTCTGCATCACCAGATCTCCTCCACAACCTGAGCAAAACAGATAAACAAACGTTTACGCTAGATATAAGGACTTTTAGTATGAACTGATCAGTTCTGCTTGTGTGTCACAACATACTGGAGGTGGAGGCAGTGTAAGTGGCTCTGAACCCTTTTCTGGAGACGGATACGTCAGAGATGAAGTTGACGACCATGGAGTTGCTGAAAGACGTCACTGGATGCGGTATGTCAGAGCCACAGTAGCGCCCTGCCAGAAATTCATAGCATTAGACACTATAGAATTTCAAAACATAGCTAAACATAGCTCACTGTGAAAGTACAGTATTTAATCTTAATTTTAATCGTAATTTTTACAGTTTAATGATAATATTCATGTATTAGACAGAATTTACGACTGCGCTGAAGCTTGAATGTTTGAGGTAGAACTGAATATAAGTATTGCGATGGTTAAAAACGAGATTTTTTGTTTTTGTTTCTACAGAGCACCCTAGCAAAAGTCAAATTTAAACAAACTTGTGAATTACGTGTACAAATGAATTACGCATCTACCTATGGAAGGCGCCTGATAGTTGTCTCCATCAAGGATCTCCACGGCATCGTGTGAGCAATTGGAGTTGATTCTTTCCAGGTCAAAGTCAGTGAATGACAGGGTCACATGGTTGACTAGCAAGAAAAACCCAAAACAGTCATTAATGTTGCACTTTTTCCAACTTTTTTCTGTCAAACATGTGTGAGACAAATAGGTTAAAAGGTAAGATGAGAGCTACTTGCATGGTTCACGTGCTTTGATAATCCAGCTGCAGTTCTGATTTGGTGGGTATAGTGCAGGGTACCGGGGCGATGCAATAGACCCCCCATTATTGTCGGTTATAATGGTCGTGCCGCATGCTGCTCAAAAAATGACAAAAAACAAAGTCAGAGAACTTGTAGTTATTCAAAACTTTGGTTTGAGCTGGTCAGTAACAAGGCATAGGTCATCTGTGTAATCTAAATCGGGTCACAGGGCTCCTGGTACATATCCCAGGTATCGTTGGGTGAGACCAGCCCATAATACCCCCACACAGAAACAAACCACACGGCGACCATGCATGTACACATTCACTCCTACAGTCACCACTGAACACACACGCATTGTTATTGGACCCTGGATCCATACCATTTGGCACAGAAAATGTTTTTAAAAAACACTGAAAATGACTAACTTGAAAATTTTTTACGTTGACTTTGAAAAAAATACTCGGCATTGAAAAAAGGAACTTTGAAAACCGAAATACTGAAAAAAGAAGATTGAAAAATTAAACTATGAAAAACTTAAACTTCACAGGTGGAAATTCAAAGTAAACACGAGAAATTTACCAGAATCCGGTTATTTATATTTCCTAAATCAGCCTCTTTTCAAATGCCAACTATAAGTACTTGTCAGTTCTGGTTCTCTCATTAATAGACAATGGGGACCCTTCAGATTTGGATATTTCTGGAGTATTTGCTCTGGCTAAAGTATTTTAATCTTTTGTATATGATGCATTGGAACTATATCCGACTAAACAGAACAGCTGTTCTAGTTACAGATTAAATTCAATCATTGGGCAGTAAACAGAACAGCAATTAATTTGCTGACTGTCAAGTCACTGCAATTGTTTTTGTAAAGGGTTTTCTCTGAAATGTCCTCTGTACATAGAGTACATGGATGGATGGACATAGAGTACAACAAAGAAATATTTCTGTGTGTCACTCTATGTGGATTTGAGAAAGTTGTCATTTAAGTGGGATTTTTTAAACACTATCTCGTATCTTTTAAGTTTGTCAATCTTCCATGAGGCTTTCATAAATTTGTAATTTGAATTCATAGTGTTTTGTTGCCACTAGAAAAAAAAGGATGCAAGTCTCCATCATGACAGAAACATTCTATTCGGCATATGTCTTCACACAGTGCTAAAACAGGATTGGCACATCTGGTATTAAACTGGTTGAAGATGACCCACCTTCTGAGAAGGTAGCACTGAAACCCCGGTGGCTGCGACTGGAGTCGGACCTAAAGCGGACAAAGATGCTGTGCTGAGTGGAGGTGACAGGGGGAGCGCTGGTGCCACAAACGTGAGCAAGTAGAGGAGAAGATGAGCTCGGGCCGTCATAGATCTACAAATGGACAGACACAGTTTAAGGACATTTCCAAGCTAATACAAAATTAAACAACTGCACGAGATGATTTCTAATGCATAATATTTATTGCTCTAAAAATGGATCTTTTAGATCTAGCAAGTGCAGATATGGTCACGATACCCAACTAACAGGAAGTTGTAAGACCTTTTCAGTATTATGTTTTTAACTCATCTTAAAATATATTTGATATGTTTCTTCTTAGGAAGCAAAAAGGTTGAATAATCATATAAAACAAGACAGATCCTATTTTTAATTTAAAGCCTTAAAAATAAATTCAAGTACACTGAATTAAGGTTTGCACAAGTTGAATCCAACCAGTTGAAGATGCAACGCTGGGGCAAGATGGTTCTCTAATTTTTCCAGAGATACTACTTTTAAGTTGTTTTGGATAAGGCTTTCTGCTAGATGAATAAATTTAAATGTAATACATGAGCCACGGCACAGTGATCATCGGTGGTGAGGGAAGATTTTAGCTTTCAAATGGAGTGAAAATGTTTGGTCGTAAGAGATGTCCCCACAAAATTACATCTTTAAGAGCCATCTAGAATAATTACCCTGAATGGTGACCAACTTACTGTATCAACATAACAGTGTTATAGATTCTTGATATTTTTTAAAATAAGTGACACCTTGGATATATACCATGAACATTTTATATATCATATAAATTGATCATGAGAAGTCACAGAACTTTTGAGAACAAATCATGGCAGACAAAGGAAAGCGTCTTGAACTTTCCATTAGCAATGATCACACAGTTACTAATGCTGGAATTCAGTTTAGTCTCTTACGGCAACATAATCCCAAGAGCAGTTGCTATGGTTTTCAATGTCCAGGTCAGTGAAGTTCCACAAGACACGGTGGTGGGGATCCACACTGATGACCCAGGAACAGTCCACATTGTTTGGATAGTTGTTGGGATACATGGGGGAATGGATGCTCCCGGAAGGAGCCGAGACAGTTCCTCCACACCCTGAAAGGAGAAAGGAAAATACATCATTCCCCCCTTGATAATGCTTAGTGTTCCTCACTTGTATACACTACTACTGGTAGCCGCACATATTGTCCAAAATTTGGAATAAAAAATTTTTTTTTAAAAAGTACATCACTTTATAAATATTACGGTAACTTTAAATCTACAAAATATTTTGGCGAAAACAAAAATAAAATCTACAAAACCGGTGAAAAAAAGATTCAAAGCTGCTCGATTAGTATATTTTCAGCTAGCAAAGTAGTGTCTAGATAGTATTCTACAAAAGTTAAAATGTTTACTGTTCTATGAGTCGTCATAGTGCATTATTTACAGTTTGCATACTATGAGGAATTGTACACATTTAATACTCCCTACTCACCTCCCTGGTTTTCGGACCAGCTTGCATTGAATCCTCGACCGCTGACGTAGGAATCGGACTTGAAGCGCACGGTGAGCAGGTTGCCCGTGCTGGAGACATGCATGGGCTGTGATGTGGTGGTGCAGAGCTGAACCAACCGGGGGGCTGACAAGTCAGGGCCTCCGTACACCTGAAAGGAGGCAATTTGTAAAAGTCAACAAGCTTACTGTGCGCAGATCAACTCTAAAAGAGTGAAACTAATTATATATTTATTAGACTTTAGATAGACTCATGGTATTCCTATTCAAATTTGAAAAAACCTGCAAAAACAAATATTGTACATTCATGAATGGGTACATAACTTGTGCAAAATAAAATCGGACGGTATTAGCAGCCGGTTTTCACCAACCGTTTAGCTATAATGAGGTCAAATTTTGCAGTATAAGGATTTTTAATGAATTTAATTACTAAATTATCATGATTATGATTATACTAGCATTAATGATGGATTGATTTCAGCAAAGCTATGAAACATGTTGACATCTTACTTCAAGCACGTCATAGTTACAGGTTTGATGGAACTCCACATCAAACTCGTGGATGGTGAGAGTTATACTGGTGCCAGCAGCTGAAGTGATATACCAGATGCACTCTCTGTTTTCAGGATACTTGTTCGGATAGCCAGGGCTACTGAAGGACCCATTAGGACCAGACAGGTCCCCACCACAACCTGCACAGAACACCGGCTCTTACTGTCCAATTACGCCTCAAATAACTGCAAAAATAATGGTTTATCAAGAATTTATTTGAAGGTCTTTTCTATTTGAAATCATATGACCACAGTTTTTAACGTTCAGAACAGTTTGAGGTGGTGAAACACAACCTCATAAAATCAAAAACCCTCCACCCCAGCTCCCACTTTAGAGACATCTGTAATATATATGAGCAATAAACACAATTATACACAATTAAACAGACATACCTAGAAACTTGAAACCTCAGATTTGGAAACAAGTACTATTTTTGTCCTGGTAAATATTCCTGGTAAATATTCAGCACTACTCAAGACGTTTCTTTTTCAATGCATAATTTGTATCATAATTCAAAATATTTTGCACCTTCAAAATCTAAGGAATATAATAGATTTATTATGCACAAATTGTACAAATAGAGTTTAATTCAATTTAGCTGCACATGCCAAAATATTTTTGCTGTTCATCTCCTGTAAAGACTAAAAGCTTCCTTAGACTAAAAAGGTGAGACTTAAAAATGAATTTCCAATCATACCCGACCTTGTTCTTTGCATAGTTTAAGCAGTAAAATCTCTCCCCTACCGTTCTGGTACCAAATCATCTGAAATCCAGACATGGATACGGTGGAGTCCGTTCTGAACGTCATGGTGAGAGCTGAGCTCGTGGTGCTGTTGGCTGGGGGTGGACTGTACCCACAGAATGTACCAATCAGTGGAGCTTGCTCGTTGGACCCATCATAGAGCTAGAAGAGTAATATGTGGAAAACGTTTTGCGAGAAAATGGATAGAAAAAGGAGTAAATACACACCAAAATACTCATGTGACTTTGACTTTTACAAGATAATGTTGGTTTCAAAATTATTTTTTATATGTTTATGTTTGCTTCAAAATTTGATTTGACAATAAAATCTATATGGATTATTCTTCATCACTATTATAATTTATCATATAGTACACCACTCATGGAAGCTACATGAGAATCCTGATTTAAATTTCTGCTTTAACAGACTTTCTAAAGATGAAATTAGAAAATTAAACTTCGATGTGGTTGCTTATTTCAAACACAACCACCATATAGGTTTCGGCACCAAATTATATTTGTTTTGTGCTCAAAACTGATAGAATATTATTTGTATAACCTGAACAAACTGTAAGTGAAAAGTTGCATTAATGTAAAAGGATAAACATTGTATAGAAAATCTATGAATGACAGAAACCCATAGTGACTAGAAACAAAATTAAACGGCAACAGAAAAATGTAAAAACATATTAATAATAAAACAATAAATATAACATGTACCTTGATGTAGTCATGGATACATCCGCTTGAAGTGCGCTCCAACTGGAAGGCATTGAAAGTGTAGTTGACAGTGTTTCCGGTGGTGGCCTCTATTGTCCAGCTGCAGAGGGAGTTGGCAGGGTAGAGGTTGGGAAAATTGAGCGACTCAATCACTCCTCTGTGTTGTCCTGAGATGACTATGTTCTGACATTCTGAAAACAGGACAAAGATACACTTGCTTAATCTTCACATAAAACAGTTAAGCTACTGACAATATTGGATTTTAAGTGATCGTCCATTGTAAATGTCTGATAAAACGGCATTTCTTTTTTTCAGAATTGTTTATTGCCAGCATAATAATACTCAAATCTATGTATATGTCGCTGCTTGCTAATGTTTGCCCTATATATCTATATATATATGAAATCTACAAATCTCTTTTTATCTGTTCAAATGTGATTCGATTAGCAGTATCTTCAAAAATTGTATATTTTTCAACCTTTAGAAGTACAGGAATATAGGACTCTAATGCATTTGACATAAACTTGTGAGCATGGGTGTGTTGTCATACTGGAACTATACGATGCGAGGAATCCTCCAGCGGCGACGCTGGCGTCCGTGCGGAGTTTGACGTACAGCTGACTGCTGGACGCGTTGATGGTCATAGGCAACTGAATGCCACAAAGCTTTGCCAGCTCTGGAGCGTTACTGCTGTTTCCATCGTACACCTGAAAACAGATACAGTCACGGGTGCATAAGGGCAATGACACATATTACATAACACTGTAAATGAAATTATTAACCATTTACAAGGAGGTTACTTGGATTCTGTCAATTTCATTCTTGTAACAGGGATATAACTTTTAGTGCCTTTGTTTGTAGAGCAAATTCTTCCATTTTCTATTGGGTTTAGAATACTCGCTTTTAGGGAATGTGGAAATTAGTGCACAACTGAATAAAAAAATCAATTCCTTGACAAAACTTGGTCAATATGAAACGGAAGACAATGAGGAATTTTATTTTTGCCCGTACCTGTTTTGTGTAATATGTCAAAAATGTAAATAACACTCCTATTGGACATAATATGTTTGGTTATGGTTTGAAGACCTATATCCACTCTTCTATGCACAGCAAGTTTAAGACTTCTATATCTACATCACAAAAATCACTATATCAAAACTTTTAACCTGAAATACAGAAACTGGATAGTTCTTAAAAAATGAGAACTTCTTTGTTCTTTTCCATTGTACAACTGCAAAATTGGGGGGAAAAAAGTCAATTTAAAAGAAAACGTGACCCAAAACTGCCACAGGCTTGACAGGGGCAGCATCAGCGTGACTCAAACTTAAACTACACTGCTGGAATGGGAAGTGGAGCATCGCACACTAGCCCAAGTTTTGGGCTGTCCTCCCTCATGCTGTGGAGCTGTCCATGAGGAGAGGCGTCCGGTAGAAGTGGAGGTACAACCAGACAGACCCGGAAAGAATTTCTGTATGTGGCCCTTGTTTAAAGCACAATATTCCACCTTTTCCGTACACATGCAAAAATCATGCAACAATCCTTTACCAGAACAGAGTGCATGCTGCAGATGATTGATTTGAATCTTTAAATGTCTAGAGAATATCTGTATTTTTTTTTGTGCAGCCTGCTAGCAATACAATAATTGCAAATAATTTTGCTACTGCTCTTACTTTCAGTTATGCAACCATTGCTGACAGTGAAGACAGATAATCTGAAGCCATTCACAAAAATAAAAATCTCCCATTTTCTTTGAATGCATCTGTTATTGTAAATCTGTTATTGGTTTCCCTTTCAGAAGTATTTTTTCTTTTAACACTACTGCCATGCCTTAAAAAGTCTAGATGTTGATGTGTAATAATTACAACTGAAAAGGCTAAACGTTCTAAAGCAAAATATGGGCCCTGTAAACTCGTCATCCTGAATCCATTGCGTCAACAGTACTCACAGCAACGTAGTCGTAGGAGCAGGAGGAGCTGGACTCCAGGTGAAAATCGGAGAACGACAGCTGGAGTTGGCTGCCTTGACTGGCCTGAATGTTCCAGTAACACTCAGCATTGGCATGATATGGCAGCGGGTAGTTGGGAGAGGAAAACATCCCAGATGCAGTTGTCAGTGTCCCTCCACAGCCTTAAGCACAGTCAGAAAACAAATAAAAAAAAGAAAAAAAAGAAAGGCCGTCTTGCATTTAAAGATAATTATGGAAAGTGTTGTCAATACACCACACAGATTTACTGATGAATATTGTGGTAACACATAATGTATATATAATTTGAAGAACTGCTTCCAAAAATTTATTTTGAAAAATCTTAAAACCCTCTAATTATTTTTTTAGTACTAAAAAAGAGGCCAAACAGTCAAACGAAAACCATTTAAGAAATGCCACCCATCTAATAAACTGTTTCTGATGTGAATAACTGAAGATAAAACCCCAAGAATATCCTCTCAGCGTATGGTAATTTCTTTGTCAATAATAATATGGTGAGATTTTGATTAGCAATTTAAGATTTGACCACTTTATAATGTGTTTTTTTGTTTTAATTAATATGGCACAGTGCAGATCAGATTATGAAATGTGCCAAGATAATTAGATCATCTTTCGGTGCTCTCCTTAAATACTGTTATAAGAGAGGAAAACAAGCAGAGAAGATAAGATCTTATCCAAGATCTTAGCCAATGCTTCTTAGGACCAGATAAAGACAATCAATTGGATATGACAAAATAGAAGAGCTCCCAGGATCTGTTGCTTTAGGTGACTTATGACATGATTATTTCAAATCATTTTAAGCTTAAATGTGTACTAAGGGTCTTTTTATCAAATGGAATATATGTATCCTTGGTGATTAAAAAGTCCAGTGGGGAAAGAGGCCCAACAACTGAAGGCCCACTGATCAGTGAGCACACATCTGATCACTTTTCAGTGGAAAACACAGGATTGGGCCACTGAGACCCGTGGTCAAAAAACAAGAAAAACTGATTTCAGGGAGTGACAGATTCCAAAAAGCCAGAGCAGAGCACTGGACTAATGTGGTTGTACTTTCTAGTCAGATCTCAAGCCGCAGCAAATCACGTGTGTTCTGCACTTTTTCATTCAAACCTGCATAAAATAGGGACTACATGTATATAAAAACATGAAGCACTCACCAGTCTGCGTTCCATCCCAATAGGCCATGAATCCACGACGTGTAACAGTGGCATCAGAGCGGAATCTTACCCACAAGCGGTTGCTATGGGACACCAAAACTGGGGGTCTCTGATCTCCACAGAACTTGCCAATGAAGGGGGATGTCTCATAGCCACCATCCCTGCACAAGTAAGCAGTAGATGAAATAGTTAAGAGTGATTAGATTCATATCGCGATGTAATGCTAAATTAATCGCTTAATGGCTGTGAGTAAACTTAAAGTAACGAGTTGTTGCCTTTGGATGCAAAAACACACTTATATACCCAGTTACACCTTGCCCATTATAGGTGACAAGATTATCATAATCACAAAACAGGAAGATTCCATGTTGATGATTAAATTGCAAGTCTATTTTCTATAAATATTCAGTTTTAATCAATAGCAATGATTAAATTAGGAACTGTACGGCTCAAATAAGTTAAATAGTTGTTGCTTCTTAGAAGACCACAGATTACGATGGAAAATAGTTTTAAAAAACACATTTTTCCCAAAGAGAAACAACTTCAACCATTTGATTTATTTTGTTACCTGATCTCCACAAAGTCAAAGTTGCAAGAAGGGGGCGAGCCCTCTAACTCAAAATTTGAAAAATTCAGTTTAATCTGCATGTTGAGCTCAACGGTGATCTTGAAGACGCAGTCTCTTGTGTTAGGGTAGAAGTCGGGATAGTTGGGTGAGCTGAAGAAGCCTGTAGGAGAGCTGAAGGACTCTCCACAGTCTGATGAAAAGGACAAGTCAGAAAATGACAAATCAACACACTTTCTCATTTTAACTGAATTAAAGTGCAATATTTTTTCCCTTTTCCCTGTAAAAACTAAAATAATTTAGATATGCTGGAAAATCCTTTTTCTTTTATCTAATTTGTGTGTTAGTGTCACAAAAAACATTGTTATTACAAATGAAAAGACCCCCTGAATCCAAGCACTGAACCCAAGGGCACATTTATGACATAGTAGCAGTTCCCCGCGATGTAGTCTAAGGTATAGTGATAAAACGTAAAGATTTTTCAAAATTATTAAGAATTTGGGTCAGTCTATAATATTGAATAGCTCCAGATGGCAAAGTATATGCAGCCACATCTCTACTAGCAGTGGAAAATCTAATAATGTTTTTTATTCCTCATACACGTTGCTGTCCTAATGCCTGGCTGTTGTAAGATAGTAATTAATCACTAGAATGTTGTTTGCTATAGGACAGACTTAGTGCATTATGATGGGTCTCATATACAGAATTATGTAAATTTCTAGCCATATTGACCGAACTATGCTAATTCACTCTGACCCTAACCACACATTGCACTTAGAAGAAAAAGAGTTATGGTGGTTTTGTGGGGCACCTTCACTATAGTCACATTTCATACCAGAGTATGAAAAATTAATTTAAGACTATACTTATGAAACTTGGAAAATGATTCTGTCCATAAAAGGTTTCTGTTTGGTTATGTTAATGATGATCCTTCTCTAAACACTTTGTTAAATTCGTAGTCAAATCTATTCTTACAAATGTCTCGTTCAAAGCGAATGAATCGGGTATATTCACAAAAAGACTGAGGACCTTGGGACATTCTGCTGTATACCTGTGGTGGCATTGATAGATATGTAGCTGGCAGAGAATCCTTCGGTGGCTAAACTTGAGTCGGACACGAACAGCAGGGTCAGTTGGCTGTCCGAACTTGTGATGGATGGCGGCACTGAACGGCCACAGTACCTGCACATTAAAAAAGAAACACATCATTACTTCTTATTTACTTTACTTTGTCTTTCCTGACTGATATGTTAAACATTTCCTTTCAAAATCCAACTGGAGCAGATTATTTAAGCCGCTCTGGTCAATACTGACGGAAGTTAGGCTAACATTCAGGACTCAAATATATACAATTAAACATTAGTATATTTCATATTGTTGATGTCCAATAGATGCTGTGGTTTCATCAGAATCTTTAGTTTGTTCTGTAATCTGAGGTGTTAGAATTATCACTTGTCACAACTTTTGGTAGTTTAAGAGACATTTTGATCATTGCTTTGCGTTCAATATTTTCCGCAATTCACATTTAAAAATAAAATGTTGGATAATTAATGGAGAGATTACATTAAACAGCAATGCTATACAAAATGAAAGTGTTAGACAGTGATAGAGAAGTGCTTTTTATTGTTTGGTTTGTCAGGAGAGGTTGGCTGTACTGTTTTTGTGTGATCTGGTTTAGAATCTGGTATGCCACTTATTGCTATCATGATTTCTTCTTTTGTGTGGACTCCAATCCTATTGGGTTAAAGCACACCAGCAGTGCAAAGACTCTATATTCAGAATTCGGAATCTTTCTTAAAACAGTGTCATATTCATTGAATATCATTAAAATATAGTCCACATGATAATAAACTCCACTGGATATTAAGTGGGCATGACTAATTTAGTCAAAAATGAGAAATAATGATTTCATTATTAGGCATTATATACTATTGGCCACATCACAATGGTGTGGATCTTTTGTTTACTCCACAAAATGTGAAATCACTCAAAAAAGTAGAAGTAAAGACCCCCAGTAAAGACCCCAAGTTTCATGTGTAAATGGAGTCAGCAGTATCTCATACTTCACACTTCTATCCAATACTTTGATGAATAGGTTATTAGCAGAGAGCTGTTCTGATTCGTGCATGATTCCGGAAGATTTGAGGGTGAAAATGTTTGTGAAGTACCTGCCGATCTTGTTTCCGGTCTGCACTGTGCCATTGTCATAGATTTCCACGTAATCAAAATTACAGTTGGCATGGTACTCCAGATTAAACGAGTCAAATGACAAGCGGATCAAGTGGCCTGGCACAACACTGATGAACCAAGTACAGTTTGCACCGTGGGGGTAGCTGGTGGGATGGCCGGGGCTGGTGATTACGCCTGAGAGATCTGTCAGGGTTTCCCCACATCCTGGCATGAGGGAAAAAAACAAAAAACCGACTGAATATAACGATACTTAAGAATAACTTCAAAAATCTCATTTCAGGTCAGCATTCTTTTAGTTTAGTATTCAACACTATTATACCAAAATTTAGACATCTGTAAGGTTGACAAGCTTTCGCAATTGGCTGCTGGACCTCCTCACGGATAGGCCACAGGCAGTACCAGTCAGCAACAACACCTCAAGTAGCCTCGTGATTTCTTTTTCTTTTTTTCCCTCTTTTTTTCCTAATAACTTAAAAAAAAAAAAAAGAAAAAAAAAACAAAAAAGGAAAAAAAAGAAAAAGAAAGAAAAAAAGGGGAAAAAAGGAAAAAAAAATAAAAGAAATTAAAAAAAGAAAAGAAATACAGAAAAATGAGAAAAATAGAAAAAAAAAGGAACAAGTAGCATCGCATTAAGCACGCCCCCCCCAACCCAGAGGCTGCATGCTCAGGCCCCTGCTCATGAACCTTCTGACTCAAACCGGAACAGCAACCGACAGCACCAATCGCAGTGAAGTTCCAAGGCAACATAACTCTGGTGGGTCTCATCACCAATGCTGATAAGACCTGCCACAGGAAGGAGGTCACACCTTTGACCGCATGGTGCTTAATGTCAGCAAGACAGAGGAGATCGTCGACTTCCAGAGAGGCCACATCCCAGAAACACCGCTGATCGTTAGTAAGCAACACCAGATTCCAGGGGTCCACATCAGTGACAACGTCTCATTGACTACCATTGACTCATTGACTGGCAAAGAAGGCCCCGCAGCGCCACCACTTCCTCTGCAAACACTTAAGTCCAATACTAACATGTTTTCTGAGCTATCAATAGACCACCGTGAGCACCGGGAGCGTACGAATGCTAACCCCGGCATCCGTGTGCAGCACAGCTCTGTGTCAGAATAATGTTCAACAAACCAGCCACAGCCGGAAGCTTTTTCCAAGCAAACTGCGGTAGCTGACAGGACAATACATGCCAACACATGTTGAGCTAGTTCACAAGAATACAGAGGATGAATATTCCATGATCAATAATCAGCAGGAGTGATTATTGATGCTCCAATCCCGTCCCTGCAAGATACATAAATACCCAGAAAAAGCCACCATGACAGATGACATATTAATACAGTAAATCGGATACTCTTACATGTGAATAAATATGGACGCGTATCTCACCTTTCAGGGCAGAGCCATAAGCTGCTTCAAAGCCATTGTTGCTCACAGAAGCGTCTGTTCTGAATTTGATGTACAAAGACCTCTGCGTGGACTGAAGCCTGGAGGGGAGTTGGTCACCACAAAATGTCCCGAGCAGAGGAGAGCTCGATGTGGACCCGTCTCTGACCTGGTCGAGGGGGTAAACATACATGGCTCACAATGTTGTTTTTATCCATCTAATCAAAAATAATTTCTAATATATGTGGACGACTAATTTTAGTGATTTAAAGTAAACACACCAATTATAACACAATAAAGAGTGGTCAGGGTAATTTAAGTTAATAGAAATCAAAAGGACATATCCTCAGTGCTACATATACTATACTTTAACTTAGCAAAGCTTAGACGGTGCTTTAAATGTTTAAATTATCCATGTTATTGTTAGTGACACTACTAAAAACTCGAGCCTGCATGTGCACATGAACAGACAAAACTCTCCACTCCACATTCCATCAAATCCAATAAGGACTGGACAGGACTATAATGGTCATTGTTGTAATATTAGTATTTTGATTGAGTGAATTTAATTAACATTCATTCACCTCGACATAGTCATAGCGGCAGGAGCCTCCCTCGACGTCAAAGGACAGAAAGTTAAGTGTGACCACATAACCCTCCTGCTGGTTAATGACCCACTCGCAGACCTTGTTGTGGGGATAAGCATTTGGGTGGTAGGGCGAGCGCAATTGTCCTGTTCCCGATAACGTACCGCCACATCCTAGGAAGACAGAAGAGCAATGTTTGGTCATGACTGAACAAGATTAAACCTTTCATTATATGTGCATCATTTTACAAATTATATTGTACTAGCTCATGAATGTGATTATGAGGGTATGTAAACGGAAAGAAACAAAGAATAAGTGAATTATTGAGTAACTGAATATTCATTTTTGCTAAACAAAATCCAAAATGTCATTCCACTCACACTAATTATTGCTCTTAAACTTCTTATTAGAAATGTATGTCATCTCACATGCTAAATAATGCTCTTTGCAAACTAGTGAATACAACTCTTACTGACAACTTGACAAATTTCCTATGTCCTCACTTAGCTATTCCTGTAAATAACATTTTCCAATAATAAAACGGACTTAGACTGACAGGGCAAAGTTTACATTGAGAAATAATCGGAAAGTTTACCCACACCCACAGGCCGTATTTTAATCATCAAATTATAAATAGACTGATCTCAGCACTAAAGGGGAAAACCACATTTGGATGAATGTTCATTTCCTGATGTGTGTGCAGAAACCTCACCAACACTGTAGACTGCCCTGAAGCCAGCTCGGCTAACTGAACTGTCAGACTTGAAGCGAATCCATAAAAAGTTGGAGGATGAGAGTATGGGAGCTGGCAGGGTGCTCGCACAGTACTTTCCTATCAATGGATCCTGTTCTGTTATTCCATCACGAACCTGAAAAAAGAGGGTCAAACCAGAGAGGAATAGGAAATATGAACTAATATAAAATACTGATATTAAATGAGCAAAGGCTAAGTTAAGGGCTGGTTCCTCAAACAAAAGGGGCCAACCGAAACTTCACCTTAGATATGTGCCCAAATAAGTTTCTGGGAAATGAAAATAGCGGTTGATACTATTTTTCATTGTTACTAACCGCGAAGAAAGTGAACCACATGAAAGGGGTTAAAACCCAAATACTACCTCTAACCAGCAGGTCCACCTCAGTTCTAGTCCATGACAACACAGACACTATTTTCTTTTCAATATGGCGGAAATTAAGTGTTTTAAAGGTATAATCTCCAATATCAAGCCTTGGATTTTACAAAACATTTGTGGATTTTTTAGGGAGATAAATAACTCTTAGATGGCCCTATTTTAGGCAGTTTTTAACTAAGTTCTACAAACAAAATTCCTCCCTGATCAGCTAGGAGGACTCTGACAGTTGCTGAATGGAGGGAAGATACTGACTACTTATGTATGTTAGAAACTCTTTATTGTTGTTGTTAGTTAAATCAACCACTTATAAAAAGCACTGTTTCTTATTGGGGTCACTCAGTTCTGGGCAAAACCATAAAAGGGGTGCTACTGAGCTATTAGCAATATGATACTTATGAAATACAAGAGACAGGGATTGGAAAATATGATTTAACTTTGTATTTGAGCAATGCAATCTTTGCAGCACGCAGCACTGATTTAACCTATAATGTGAGTTAATAAATCAAAATACCATTTAAATTTGCCCCCCTATCACCTAGGATCAGATTAAACGCCTTTCAAATTTCCCAAAAAATATGAGAAGATTTTTGACAATTTGTAATTTAGGGGGAAATAAACTGGAAATAATAAAACTTTATTGCCAAATAACGTAAAAATCAGCACTGGTACGGTTAACTGGAGTAAACATTTTGTTTATAGTCCCAAACAAGTCTTACCTCTACAAAGTCAAAAGCACAGTTGCTGTGGCTTTCCAGATCCATATCAGTGAAATTAAGGGCCACCTTTTCACCTGCTGGCAACCTGATCAAATAGATACACTGGCGGTTGTGGGCATAGTTATTAGGCCAGTTTGGGGAAATGATGATGCCCTCACTGTCAGTGAACGTACCACCACAACCAGGGTCGCCTAAGACAAAAAAGACAACATAGTATCCCATTTTAAAAGCTGTATGGGTATTTCCATGACTACTAAATAATGTTCAAACATCTATAAATCCAAGTTCAATGATTCCTGCTAGTCGCAACCTGCAAGATACAAGTCAGTTAGTGGGTAGCAGCTAGCTGAGTTTGTTCCCAGTTTTCATGACGCTGACCTGTCTCACAAGTCAGTGTTTTGGTAAAATTGAGGTAGACTGGTAGAATAAGTCAATAAGTCATAGCATATCCACACCACACCGTGGACTGGGATTGAAATCAAACCAAAAACAAGTTTGTGGAAAAGACAATAACAGAGGCAGAAGATTATTTTGGCCACACATACAGTACATTGAACATTATTAAAAGGTAGACAGTAACACTATCTATTCTTCGTATACTACCGTATCTGGTAGCTGTAAACGGTGACCCCTCGCCTGAATAGATTATTTTCTTGTTTTGTAAGACCAGACACAGTCCCACCTCATCACCTACCTTCCTTACACTTCAGGAGACACCTGACTGTAAACCCCAGGAAGGTTGCAGGCCTGAATGTCCACCTTTTTGTCTCGACTTCCATCTAAGATGGATAAAGGACTTCCTGACGGACCACCCACACCCTGTCAGGCTTGGCCCCACCCTCCCAGTCAACACTGGCTCCCAACAAGGATGCGTGGACACTACTTACTTACTTGAGATGATCGCTGACTTACTTGGGGAAGTTGTATATGTAATGTGGAAGCCTCTGTCTGAGACGCTGGAGTCTGAGTGGAAGTGGATCCATGCATTTGGGCCTGTCGTCTGTAAGGGGGGGGGCAGTCCAGTGCTGCAGTACTTTCCGATGACTGGGTCCTCAGGAAGAAGGCCATCCCTGATCTACAACATTTAGACAGATACAACACTTGAACAGACGTGAAGATTATATTGTACCAGTGCATAACAAAAAAAAATTAAAACACAATAAACATACAATATAGAACATTAAAGAATTAATGCTACGAGCATGAATGGGAGAAGTAGAAGTTCTCACCTCGAGAAAGTCAAAGTTGCAATCAGGATGATTTTCCAGACTGAGGGTCCCAAATGCAAACATGATGAGGAGGCCAGGTTCCACGGTCACGGTCCAGTAGCAGTCCCGACCAGGGGGGTAGTTTCCGGGATAACCAGGTGAGTTTATGCTGCCATAGGGAGCGGTTAGTTCCTCTCCACAAACTGGAATTAAAGACAGCTCATGAAAAGGTCCTTATTTGTTAGATTACACAATCAGTTTGCATGAGATGAATGGATGGATAGGTGGATACACACACTGAAACATCTTTGGAGGCAAGTTCAAAGCCAGTTGTGCAAGTAATATCAAAAGATCAAGTGCAGTTTCTACCAAGGACATTTTCTGTCCCTCCAGATGTTCCTGAAGCCCTTATGCCACATCATCATACAGGGACTGTAAATGCCAGTTCTAAAGTAGTGCAACAATCAGCAACCTCTTCTTAATCGACAAAATCAAATTAAAACACGGACCCATGACAGACCTACAAGAGGTCGTCATAACAGAAATTGCGGATCCGGTTGCCCTTTTAAGCACAAAGGCATTTATGTTACTGCATTTATGTTATGTTGTCTTCTGGAGATGATGTTGTAGTAAGAGAAATAAAATCCACATTATTTAATATGTCAGCTCAAGTTGGATCTCAATTGTGATTTGGGGAACTTTGAGGTTCATTGGAGTCCAGCCCTGCCAAAAAATTATATTATTTTAGGTAATTAGCCGACTATTAACTGTGTTCTGGCTACGGTCTTCCACTCTATGTCAAAATACATACAGTTATTATGCCAAATCTAAGCACTGATATGATAAATCTGACGTTTTGTATTCCTAAAAAAATTTTTAAGTTATTAAGGGTTAAGTCATATGACAGTCACTTTCTGATCAACAAAGGAAGAAAAATCTCCCAACCTGGATCCTGACTCTGCCAGGCGACTGTGAAGCCACCAGCACTGACAGAGTGGTCAGAGCGAAACCAGAAGTATAGCGAATTGAATGAGCTGTGAAGTTCTTGGGGGTTATTTTGGCCACAATATTTTCCAAGCATGTGGGCAGAGGCACTGTCCCCATCATGGATCTGAAGAAAGTCAAAGTTGCAGTTGGTGCTGCTCTCCAGGTGAAAAAAAGGAAATGTGATGCGCAGAATCTGAAAAAAGACAGAACAAAAAACAAAGGTTCAAAATGCTTAATTTGAAATAATATATTGTTATAAATGCTCATGATGCTCATTTATCTGAAAGAATGAATTTTAGTTGTTATATACACTATCAACACATGACCATATGTGGAAGGCTGTTAGTAGACATCCCTTACACACTCTTCTGTGAATGATAAAACAGAATCTAATTAACTATTTTAAGAAAAATACAAATCATACTGCAAATATGTGGATACCTATAATAACCAGCAGTTGAAACCTGTCCTCACATTATGTATCTTTTTGTTTAGGTATTTGGCAGATGCTTTTATTTTGAAAGAAGCTTGGAATAAGGATAAAACATTGAAGTTAACATCAACTGAACAATAAGCTACACAGAAAGGAAATCACTTGTCAGACTCTGTTAGAGGTAACAGTGGTGACAGTGTAGTGTTAGCGGGAAGTACAGATAGAGTAGTAGGAGGGGTGTGGGGGGGTACAGGGTAGGTGTTAGGGCAGGAGCTGCTCTCTGAAAAGCTGGGTCTTAAACAGTTTCTTGAAAATCGACAGGGACTGCCCCCTTCCTGTAGAGCTTGGTAGGTCATTCCACATGAAAAGAGGATAAAATGTGTTCATGAGTTGTTTCATAATCCTATCACACTGAAACTGTTCTGACAAAATGCCTGATGGTTATCTATGTTACTCCTATGTTTTATGTTGATGTTACATGCCAGTCCGCTATGGAACACTATTGATTAGTTCTCTTCTTGGTGCTGTAGGTAGTTTTGAGGATGCATGGCGGGATGAAGTTTATCCACATGAGGAGTTATCTTTACTGATTAACATCTTTGTTACCTTCCCTTTTCCTCAAGAGAGCTGCATTTGTAACATTTTGTAAGTATTTGCTATTGCTCCTGTATATATCCATTATGTGAGTTTAAGAAATGCTCAGAGTCTATTCTCTTTTTTTTGGAATAGAATTAGCAAGAACTGTTGACTGCCTGACAATCTTTACTAAACAATAAATTATGTTTAAATAAAAAAATATTGAAACATATAATATAAATAATATAACAAATGAAACTGAAACAAAATCAATTAAACTCATAGTAGACGCCTGTTTCCTGCATATTCATGACATTAACAAGTTTTAACATAAATTGCTGTCTCCTTCATATTTGTCAAATCTGTATATATATATATAATATTTCATAGACCAGTCTTGTTTCATTGGTTAGATTTAACCACTCCTCCTTAACAAATAAAATAAAAATACTATAGTAAAAATGTATTGAACTCTGCTGTCTTTCTTATTTATAACATTTTAAACTAATTTCAAATTCAAGCTTTTGTTTTAAACTATGTTAAAAAAAAATCTTGAAAGGAGTCCGGTTTCACCACAGGTAGAGAGAATATACCAGCTACTGACCTTATGAGGCTCGGTGTGGATCACCCATGCACAGCTGACCTGGTGGTCATAGTCATCGTGACCTGGCGTGTTGGGATAGCTGAAAGAACCAGCGGGGCCAGTCAGATAGCCTCCACACTCTGCAACACAGATCCAGAAAAATGCTCATAATCCATCCATCCATTATCAATACCACGTATTCCCTGTACGGTCACAGGAGGGCTGGAGCCTTTTCAAATGATAATGTCATTACACATATTGCAAAAACTTAAAACAGCATCTACCGCTATGAAGTAGGTGTCATCAAGTGTGATAGCAAACTATTGTCAAATCCTTTACATCACTAGAGAGGGAGGTTTCTGCTGTTTGATCAGTAGAAACCTCTTCTGATATAAACAGTCCAAAGTCTCAGTCTTAACTAAAATCTATCGGATATAACAAATACATAACAAAGGATATGTATGTCTTTGGAAATCAATTCATAGTTTTTTGGAATTGTTTATCTGCCTTACAAGCTGTAAGGCAGATTAGGCTGTTAAGATCTCTTCATTTAGACCATTCTGGCACATTATTTCTAGTAAAAACATGATTTACAGGATAGTTTTTCCTCGTCTGACTAACCAGGTAAAGCAGTTTTGAACAATATGCCATATTCGCTCCTCCATTCACACGCTATGTGGCGTCTTTTCGATCAAACAAATTAATAGAAAGCAACAGTAGGAAATATGGGGCTCGGTGACCGCAGATCCTTTGAAATTGGGCCAGGGAAAGCTGGGAGCTGAGCCGATGACAATCCAATTGACGGAGGATTGCTCCTTTTCCTAAACAACAGCCACTGGCAAATAATAGTTTTTTGTTATGCTTTGTCTAATAAATTTAATCAAATCAGTCCAATTGATTATATGCAAAAAGTGTATTTTAGAAATATAGTCTTTTCATATATTTGTTTTATATTTTTATTTTTAATTAGGGTGAAAGACATATTAATTATTCTCAACTGGTCAGGATTAAAAAGACTGAATTTGGTATCTCATGCCACGTTTATTATGTTCATATATGGATTCTATGTGCTTTAAGTTTTGTTATATATTCTTTTATTCTGTATGTTGTGCTGTTGGTACCTTGTTGTGCGGTTTGACAGAGTGGGCCGGTCCACTGGGCTGTGCAGGTGCACGAGAATCCATTAATGCCGTCGGTGCAGGTTCCTCCATTTTGACAAGGGCTGCTGGCGCATTCGTCGATGTTCTGGTCACAGTTGGTTCCTTGCCAACCAGGATTGCAGTTACAGATGTAGCCGGGAGCTGTGCTAGTGCTCTTCAATAAATAATAAAATATTTTGTTAAATTCCTGCAAAAAATTGGCCATTATTTCTATTGTAATGTTGGAACTTATGACCAAAATTTCCTATGACTTTTTTAAACTTAGTTTAAAATGAATGTCATCCATCCATCCATTATCAATATAAAATGAATGTCATTTCAATTGTTTTCATTATCTTATTTCATGCCTCCATTGCCGTGGTAACCTGTTTTACCCGGTTTTTAGGTCTGAAAACATCTTGAAGGATGTTTCACAGCAATACTTTGGAAGGTAGGGTGAATTTGGGATACTGTGTGATCAAACCGGTATCCACAAGACTCCCTGTATTCCCAGTACGTCACATCTCAAGAAGGAAACGTATTTTGAAAGATGCCCATGCCAGAAATAAGTTCATATTTATATAAGTCAGAAAAGTGTCGAGGTGCACACTCTTACCACACACTGTCCGTTGACACAGGGATTGTTGGTTTGACAGATGTTACTCAACTGGGCGCAACCAGTTGGACCAAAGCCATTGCCCGTGAATCCAGGTGGGCAGGTACACACAGGGAGGCTTGAACCTAATGGATATTGGATGTGAGCCGAGAAGGAAAATGCATATCTCATCAGAAAAGCTATTTAAATTCTTTAAAAAAAACAAAACAACAACTTTGTGATTGGTGTTTTTATTGTGGAAAAAAATACAACAAAATGATCATGTCATGCATGTTTGCTTTACCTAAACTGGAGGTGCAGGTTGCCGTGGGGTAACAGCCTCCGTTGTTTGAAGAGCAGATATCAGCTTGTGTGCATGTCTTCCCATCCCCCTCATAACCTGCACAAAGACAAGAATGGTCCATAACACTTCACCCCAGCGCTGGTGGTTACGCTCTAAAAATTCATTTGAACAGCCCAAACTGAGGGATGTTGGTGCACAAGCCATTCTGGTAAACTGTGGTGGAAGTTGAAGAGGATGGCTAAGATGGCATTGTTGTAAGTGGTAAGTTTTGTATTTTGTCCTCCAAAGTGTCACAGATATCATTGTTATTTCAAACCAGGCTGAAATGGATGACTCCTCCAGCCCATTTCACATGTTGTTTTTATTTGTATGGAAAACAGATGCTATCTATCATAGCTGGTGTTATCTTTCTCAGATGGGAAAAGGACAAGACAAGTAAAAAAAAACAGCGCAAAACAGACTCAAATCTGAACAGCATGGGAGATTAACTTTATGAAGATCCTCTACTGAGAATTTCCTTCAAGTATCAGTGAGAGCCCTCCAACATCAAAATCATTAGGCGTTAAAACTTTAACAATAACTAAAAGTAAGATTAAACTCTAGCATCCATCCATCTATTTAAGGTCTATACCACATTCATTCCTATGAGCAATTTTGAAGTTAAATTTGACTTAGCAAACACGTTTTTTAATTGTGGAATGAAGTTGAAGTACAATGGAGAACAAGCTCCAAACAGAAACCAGGAGCCTTCTTACTGTTTGGCAACTGTACTAATAATAAATATATACTGAATAATCAATGCGAATGGGAAATGCTCTTAAAGTGCTACACTGTTCTGGGATGAGTTTATTGTAGATACTGACTAGGAAAAGCCCTGCTTATTGTTTTTTATATATATTTCTATTATATTTCTATTATATATACTATATACTATACTATTATATACTATGATTATCTACTATTATTATACTATTATATATACTATACATACTACCAGACTGCTCTTAACAATATTTATCAATGTCTCCATATGAACATTCTTTACTGGAACATAGCTAATCGCTTATAGTAGTTAATTATGGAAATAAGTATATTGATTGGAGTAACAGAAAGACATTCAACTTCAGTTGAATTTGAAACTACATAGTATACCTGGAGGACAGGAGCCACAGTGGAAAGAACCCATCGTATTCAGGCACGGCACCATTGGAGTGGTGGAACAGCCACCATTATTTGTCTGGCATTCATCTACATCTTGACAGCTGTAGCCATTGCCTTGCCAACCTGAGGAATATTTGGGAAAAGAAGTCAATCTTTAATAACCACTTGCTGTATATAAGATGAAGCAGAGCTCGTTATCCTTGGGAATGGGCTCATTTAACAAAAAAAAAAAACTATTTGATTGCTGTTCATTGTAAGTTACACCAGAATCATCATCAGGAAGTACAGTGAAAAGAAGTTGCTAATGTAGGTATTTTATATTTAGTTGTTTTACATCTTTAAAACAAAACAATTCATTTTTACCAATCCTTGACCATTTTTCTATTACTTTTTTAAAATAATGATGTATGTCACTGTGTTACCTGAAGGACAGTCTCCACAGTAGAAAGAACCCTGAGTGTTGTGGCAGGGAACCAGAGGGTTGGTGGAACAAGGCGGCGTGGATAAGTTACACTCATTAACATCTGCCACACACGCTGGGTTCCCAGGCGGAGCCTCCCAGCCGTTCTCACAGATGCACTTGAAATTGGGCTGTTCATTGACATAAAATGATGTGAAACACAGAGGAAAAAAAGGATAAAGAAAAAAAGAAACCAAATGTAGGATTGAATTTGAAAACTTAACAGCTTTTAACAGGTGTCAAGCAAAAACGTTACCATATTTTTGACAAGTTAAGGTGGTTTGCCCAATGGGTAACGCAAAAAGATCAAGATTTGTAGACTACGATGGTAATATTAATGGTAAAAAGACAATAGAATCTTCTTTCCAGCTTTAAAACTAAATTCCAGGGTAAAAATAAATGCACTGTGATGACTAGTTACCTGTCCAGGTGTAATCCGATCTGCATCAATACATAAACCCCGGACACACAGGTCTTGCCCTGCATTTCTGCAGTCGTCGTAACGCACGGTGCAGAGACTCCCTGACCATTCTGGAGAACAATTACATCTGTAAGCAAAAAGAAATCACTTTTAAAATACATGGATGGTCTAGGATTGATGGGCATCAAATGGCATTGGCATTAGTGTTGTCCCCGCCTCATCATGGCAAAAAACTAAACCTATAAAGTTTAAATTATGCATCTGCTCTATAATCTAAATATTTCTATGTACTCCACAGACAGCCTCTGTGAAAGGGTTCTGCATTTTGACAGAAAACACTATTTTAGTTAGCTTTTGGAAATATCTAACTGAGTTAAGAAATTTGAAGCCAGGCAGAATCTGCTGTCTTTTGATGTCAGATGATTCAAATGGTCACATTTTAGCCAGATTTGTCTTTTTGTAATAAGGCATTCTATGGTAACAAGTTCTATTGAGGATCCTTAAACAAGCTGAGACGATATATTGTATCAAAATGGTGGGAACTGTTCAGAAACAATAATGATACGATGATATGTGAAATAATAACAGACTTACTTTTTTCTAAGAAGTTTAAAAAGAAAGTTATTAAGTAAGAATAAAGTTTAAGACTTACGTGAATGATCCAGGACTGTTGTTACAGGTTGCACCGTTCTGACAACCCTGCACGGTTCCTGAATACAGCTGACATTCATTTACATCTGTGGCACAGTTTTGGCCCTAATTGACACAACATATAGAAAAAAAAAAGAATCAAAGATAATAGTGAAACCTACTTCCAATTGATTTTATTTATGATTAAATTAAATGTAGTCTTGTATTTCTTAGCAAACTAATCAGATATTGTTATCATACGTTGTCTATATGATTTTAATATGGAAGCTCAATATTGTTTTCACCAATGGATCTGTGATCACTAGAAATGCAACAAATGTTAACCCAAACCCTAAAAGTGAAAGTAACAGTAGCCTGCATTTAATCAGCGATTAAGGAGGAGCTAAATGGAATGGCCAAAGATTGTACTTTGCAACAGAGTGAAACTTACAGTCCAGTTGTTGGGACACACACAGTGATAGGAGTTTAGTAAGTTCAGACATGTTCCTCCATTCTGGCAGGGGTTACTATTGCAAGACACCTTTTGGACTGTCTACGGAAGAAAATGGGAGAAAAACAAGGCTAAGTAGCTACGGTCTCAGTTTATGTCATCAGCACAAATTTTAAAACCTTACCAATTCAAGAGCATTTAATTTGGTCTCCATTGTTGACACCTGAAAGGTATTTGGAAATAGAAAAGAAAATAAGGTGATGGCAATAGCTTTGAACACTGTATTTACAATACAATCATTATTATGTTGGAAATGACTGAAATTCATAAGAGCCTTAAAATATGATAAATAATTACTTTTACTTAAAATCATAAAGATCGTCTAGTAAGCTGAATTAGCTGAGTTGCTTTAACTTAAACATGCCACACAGTCTTTTTTAATAAAAGTTGAACATTACCCCTTAAACATTGTACTTTACAAACAATATCCATGGAAAAGAATACAAATTGGTCCTACCTTGGTATCAAGCTGATTTAGGTGGTTGGTGATTTCCGGTGGAATTGCACCTCCATGAGTCTTAATTTCATTAATCTCTTCTTTGTTGACTTTGATCTGAAATAAGGCGATTTATCATTCAAGATTTACTCCTGAGGTACCATTGAATATGAGGCTCATATGAATATTGGCATATGCCTTTCCAACATCCAAAGCATAGAAAAAATGGGAATAACACATCTTGCAACAAAAACAATACAAGCTGGAAATCAAACCACCAATTTTCCAATTTACACACCACGCAAACATTTCTCAGATAAAAAACATTTCATAAACAGTACGTATCAAATATTGTATCAAATATGATACATATGGCATTACAGGGTTGATGACTGAAGTTTTTAAGGCCTTTTGAAATGCTTTATCTGAAGTGAGATGTTGATGGATGAGCCATTTGTGGTGACAAACTGCTCAGCACAGACTTTAGGAATATGGTGGGTACCTCATCATGGCAGCATGTCGATTGGTTCAGACTGATTCTTCAACCATTACACTTAAAACTTAGGTCTAAAGGCAGTGAAAATACCCTGTTGGATCTCAGTGCAGCTTTTATTACAACTGTTCACAGCATTCTTTGACACTAGCTCAAAGGTGTCGTTTGGAAAGGTACTGCACTGAGCTGGTTTAGGTAGTTTAAAGAAAATATGAATTTAAGGTTGAATACGAATACATTTACAGGTCCTGAAAAACAATTCTGAAATGTTGCCTGCTACTTTTATCCACAGCACAGAGTAATGGGCTGTTTCCCCCCTTTCTTTGCACAATATTGACAGATAGTTGCTTTGAGAAATATATATATATATATATATTGTTGTCCACCATATGTAACCACTTGTGTGCATTTATGTATGCTTCTACATTTACATTTTAATCTAATTTTAAGTTTAAGTGGTCACACATCAGAAGGCAATCAGAGTTCAGTTCTTCAGAGAAATGCCCACTGTCATCATATCATGGTTCTCCTCTTTTTATTACACTAAAGCTAAGTCACATGTGTGTATTGCTTTATAACATTTACCAGCACAGTTAACACCCTTTTCCTAAAAACATTTAGGACATATTACATTTTGTTGGAAGGCTATAAAATGAACTGCCTGAAAACGTTATGGTTTCCATCCTAAATCTGCCAGCATCAGTAGACATAGCACCTGATCTTTGGTCTTGCTATATCTGCTTTCGAACTTGTTAATCATCTCCTAACTCACATGAGTAACAGCAGCCTCTCGGTCCTAAAAAGCTGTTAAGAGGTTTTAACAACTTATTTTCATATGTTATGTATATAAAGGTGTGTACATTTTATAGCCATTTAGATTATTTCAATGATTAGTTTACTGTTCCAAATTCAGAAGCTTGATTCTTTGTCTAAATACATTAGAATTGTAAGGGTTTAACACAAGCAGCAACATAAGGAAACGTGCTAGATGAGAGCATTTGCAAATAGCAGCTGTATATTTTGTTCTATTTGGTCAAAAATCACTCAGTAACTGGGAGATAAATAGAATGACTTCTTTTAGGAGCCTGTGTTTGTGGGTAGAAAGATACAAGAACCGTATTTAAAAATCTAACTTGGATCTTTGTGATATGCCTTACAATACTGTGCTCTCATCACTCCTCTTCATAGGATGCACAGTGAGAGGATTTTTGAATAAAAGTTTGCTGTGACCATGAATTTAGTGTGAGCAGGAAAAAAAAAAAAGATATCAACTTGGTTGATATCAGATGGTTATCAATCGTTTTCCTTTTTGTCTCAACGATTACATTTTTTAAAAATTTACTTCAATGTCCATGGTTTGGATAATTATATCAATCCAAAATGATATTCCACCTAATCTTACCTGACTCAAAAGTTGGGTGAGGTCTTCATCCCCAACTTTGACCCGGCCCGATGCTGAGGCCTGGAAGCGGATGTCTTTACTGTCACCGGTGGTGAAAACAAGGTGACCACTATCTGAAAACATCCGAGGCCTAGAGCAACAGCAACACATACAAAAAAAAAGAGTCTACACATTGTTTTAAAAAAAAAAGTTTGTCATGACCTCATATATTTCCTAAAACTCAAAAACGCTTGTGACCCACAAAGTTTGGTGACTTTATGATATGACATGCAACAAATAATAACATATAACAAAGCTATATGTGCACTAAGGAGTACTGTGTGGCTCACACGCATACAAATATTCTTAAGTGCTCCCTGTTCGCTCGGTAGAAAATTAAACTCACTGTGTCAATTGTGCATCGTCCCTTGGCTTGTCCTGCAGATCCACCAGAAGGAGCAAGTTTAAAAAGAAAAGCCATGATAGCCTCTGCATCCCAGCCATGGAGGAGAGATGTCTGGCTTGTGGACTCTGAAAACTGTTTCTGGGGTTTCAAATGCTCCCTCTCTCTATTATTCCCTCCTCAGACTTTGACCTAACAATAAAGGACATCTCCATTTACCTAAGAAGGTTAACTTTAGTTTATTCATTATCATTCACTACTGTTTTACTGCACTATACTGTTGAGTCAGAATGCCCTGCACATGATTTTGAAGATGAGTAACTTGTTTCATGTGACTGAGTCAAATACAAATAGTCAGATAAATATATGTGTGTATGCCTCTATGACATAATAAAACCCACTCAAATTAAATGTATGTTTCATAGATGTCTATACAAATCTTAAATTAAACAGTAGGAATTTATCTGAATGAAAAAAAGACATTTAAAAAATATTTCTGCCATAATACAGAAACCCAGTCACTTAATTTCTCAAAACGTACTTTGTTTCCGTCCTCTCACTGGACTCCAGCGCCAGCACCAGGTGTCTGATCAGAGCCAGGTAAGACCACCTTCATCCCATCCATAGCCTGTTCTGCCCTCGGGGAAAAGGGTCAGTCGCTGGTAACTAAGGCCGTGTGGAATTCATGGAAGATGTGGCCATTCGTTCTCTGTTGGTATCAGTTAGGTGAGCAGGATGAAAATTGGGGCCTTTAAGTACCTTGGGTATGCAGACTTCCAACAACGGGGGAGTGTTTAAAGTGGCCGGTCGTTGTCTTGGAGACGGAAAATCGAGAAGGACCAGGAAGAACACTGATTCAACGATTAAGCTTTCCTATGGAGGTAACATGTTATGATACTGATAGTTTACTTCCCATTTCTTAACATTCAGCTGGAACAGTGTCATTCAGTTTATTTAATTCCAATACATTTAAAAAAAATCTTATTTACATGTTGACAAAGTTTTAATGTTAACAAAAATGACAAAACACACTCAAAGATTCTCCTTTGATCATTGAGTGGTGTTGTAACTTATTTAATATAAAAAAAAGATTAAAAACCTCAATATTGGTGGGATATGAAAGCACTGAGCATCTCCAATATTAGAAACCTTTTACATGTCAAAGCTAATGCGCCATGCTATAAACATGCAATAAACCACTGCACTCCACAGACTTGCAGATGTTTGTTTTTTTTACTACACAGTTGCATAGTCTACATTTTTGTAAGGCTAATTACAAAAACATATGGCTTTAGTCTTGTTTGCAGTCTCTTCTTAGGCACAGCGGTAATAGATTCTGTTAATTTACTGAAAGTTTGAGCGTGCAAGTGTTTCTGGGGGTCAAAATACATTTTTATTTCATAGAAATAAAAAAATTAAAAAAAGCTTTGGCTTAAAATCAATAAAGAAACAAAGTAATAACAGGTCTCTGTACATCAAATACATTTTTTTATTTTTATTTTACTTAAAAATATATTTTAAATAGTTTTACAAAAATGGACATCCATTGTCTAAAACAATAAAAAACATAGCCCTCAAGAACAAAAAAAAAAGATGCCAATAACCTTAACCCAACAAAATATAGTGATCAGATATAGTAATTTGTACAATTAAGCATTAGTGAAAACTGAATAATTAAAAAGAAGTTTAGATTTTAGAGGTTTAACAAGTTTTAAAGTATTTTTCTCAAAATTGGGAGACTGACCAGAAAGTGAAATGGTTTTTAATGTGAGGTGTGAAATCATTGACAGGTATTACTTCAGCAACACATGAATAATATATAGATACTTCTATTTTGAAAATAGAATCTTTTCTTTTCATGTTGTTTCATTTGGTCATGTTGAAATGAGTCATTGTGTTTGCATTTTATTCAAGATTTTTGCAGAACACTTTTCCAGCTAACATCCCTAAAAACATGATTTTCAAACAAAGAAGTGTGGCAGAAAGCACCTGGTGGCAGAATGTTCTTCAGGAGAGCAGCGTCTGTAGAAGTTTGGCTACCACCACGACATTAAGACTATTTCCTAAAACTCTGTATCGCTGAATGGTAGAGATCTCCCCCGGAAAAGCTGGAAAGACATTAAGTGGATATTCGGCTTACAAATAAAATTAGGCAAATAAAGAAATTAAGAAAACATAACAATGTAAAAAAAAATGTAAATGCTCAATTTATCACAGGATTAGTGGAACGCTGGTCGTAATTCTACTTCTGTTGATGCTTTACAAAGTTAGACACGTCTTCAGGCTCTAACTGGGTGGATGGTGTCTGATTAACAGTAATTAGAAATTATTGTTAATTATCATTAATGTTTAATTGAATAAAAAAAATAAAAGTGAAATGAAAGTTCTTTTACTTACAGAAATTCGGAGGGAAACCCATGAGGTTGGCTACTTCTCTGGGAGTAAAATAACGGAGCTTCAGTTTCAGGAGCTGCTGTAGTTTTTCCTCCTCAGAGAGCTGGTCCAGACCATTAAACACGCTGTCAATCTAATGAGGAAAAAGAGCAAACAACAACAGCATGGTGAGATAAATGCCAGTTTTCTAGGGCTACAATAAAAAAAGTTTAAAAATTCCTTAAATTCATTCATTAAATTCTACATTTATTAATGTTCAGCTATGTGCGGATTTACATCTGGGCCATATTTACGTCTAGGAGATATGGCCATATTTTTCTGGAGCTACACAGAAGAAAAAACACATACTTGCCATTCATCCCATTAGATAATAAGTGGTATCTCCTTCATTCGTGGACTGAAAGCAGGACTTACCTGAGTTTCTGTGCAGCACTGCAGCACTGAGCCGGTTCCCTCTACGTACCTCCCATAACTATCAGATGGAGCACAACACAGAATTATTATTACTATTTGAAACGGTAATAAACTAATGCATGTTTTCTTTCAGCAAAATGCTTAAAAAAATTATTTAATATAAAAAAATTGTACAGAGTGGGAATATTATTTGTGGCCTGGGTTGACTGAGGGCTCTCTCTACTCGAAAAATGGGAATAGCTTTGCAGATGAAGCCCAGTGGATTTTGTAGTTCACTTAAATAATACAATTCAGTTTTATTTATATATTAACAAATCAAGAACATGACGATTCAGTTCTTTGTAATACAAACATAATCAAATCTGATTAATTGATAAATCAAAATAGAACCAAGGAAATAAACTGATTGTTTTGAAAAGTCTTCTAATTTGCCAAACGTCCCATAGGTGACGGTGGAAAAAAAAAAGAAAACATGGTCTGGACTGCATGAGTTAAGGAATGTTACAAGATTATTGCCTGTATTTTGCAGAACCACACACACCAGCACACACCTGTTCAGTATTTTATCAAACCCACAAGAAACCAACCCAATACAGTCTCTTTAACTTCAACAGAGTAAGTAGGACAAGGACAAACAGAACCAGTGACAGTGGAACAAGTACATCAAAACAGCTCTACAGAGCCTCCTATGTTTGATTTAAAAAAAAGATTTTTATGGTAATTTTGTCTGTTGAATGCTACTTAAGAAGAACTTAAACATTAAGTCTAAAGTTGGTATTATTCTACCTCTAATGATTACTTGAAGAAGATAAAATACTTTTCACAGTCTTGCTGGGTTTTCTAGAGTTCCATGGGCCAAAAAAATAAATAAAAAAGAACTATACTGTAAACCTACCCTTTGGTGAAGCAGACAGACCTCCTGCATTTTGGCCGAACAATGTCCAAGATGGCCCCGTAGCGGAGCAACGTTTTAGGGGAAAGGAGATGCTGTTTCATGTCTACATCGAGCTCTGGTTCCAAGAAGTCTTGAATCTGCCTGACCGATGGATCCTGGTTCTGGGTTGTTTTCCTCTGAGCGTCAGTCCTGGTTTCACGTTTATACAGCACTGGGCCGCCGGGATTTTCCTCTTTTACCTGCTCGGCAACTGACAGGACCGAGGGATGCGTGGGGGGTGCACTGTCAGCCAGGTGTGGAAAGACATCAGAAATCTGAAGATGAAAAACTGTGTGAATAGTCTCAGACATATAAAGGCTATCATAACAGATTTTGAATTGGAACATTTGTTCCAATTCAGCGAGATATGACAAAGGCAATACTCTTAAACCAATAAAATCTGATCTTGCTCATTATAGCCTTGTTAGCATTTTTTCTTGAGCATGTCTGCAACCTGCGATGGTGCATTTGTTTTTGCACGTTTTGTTTTTTCCAAAGGTCTGTCGAAGAGTGTCATCAAAACAGCCCAATGAGCATGTGCATACTCTTTTATGTCTTAAGAGTTTAACGATAGTGGAGTTTAGCACACTTTAAAACGCATAAACCTGACCGGAGGGTGGGTCAGTCATATAACCAGCTTCAAATGTCTTCTCTCTACAAGAGGGAGCCAGTGAGGCTGCTCCTACCTTGTGTCTGTACTTAGTTGTTTGACTTTATATTTCTAACGTATTGAGTTTGTCTGTGCTGTGTAATTTAGATTTAGACTTGGACAACTTTACTGTCATTTCGTATGTACAGAGTGCATACAGAACCAAATTTAGTTGCTTACAGCTTTACAGTTTGTAAATTGGACCAAAATCTCTGACTGAACTAGTCGTTTGAAGGAATAGCAAAAAAAAGTCTAAAAACATAGAAAGCAACGGTCTAAAAAACATTTTTGTTCCCATAAAACAACAAGGTGTTAAAAATGTGAGTTTTTAATATTACTCATTGTGTCAATAATGTGGTCATTATATCTCACCTCTGAACTTGTCTGGATATTCAGATCTCCTCCTGAAAGTTTAGCAATCAGGAAGTAACGCAGCCTGGAATTTGGGATCCCAACCTACATAATGAATAACATGAAATAAAGATCTTAATTGCAGATAACATACTATTTTCATAAAGTAATATTTCAGACGAGTTAGATAGCATTAGTGATAGAGCACACATTTCTTACACTTGTGGGTGAGACCATGATCTCCTGGAAATTGTATCCACATTGGATTAGTGTCTTTACCAGAAGATCCCTACAGCACAGAAGTACAAAATGAGGATGAGGAAGATTTGTTCTTCATATTTGATGACATATATGAGGGGCAAAAACTTTTACAGTGTATTTAAGACAAGTCAGGAGGCATACCTAATTAAAAGATATAATTAAATATACAACAATACAATAAATACTATTTTTATCTCATTTGTACTTGGA